TTCCGATGGGTGATGCCCGACTCCGCCAGCAACTTCTTGAACTCCCCCTGGAACTCCGTTCCCTGGTCTGTAAGCACCTCCCCACATGCCCCAAACCTACACACGACCTGTGCCTTGAAAGCTACTGCAATGTGCCTTGAGCTCTTGCTGGGGATGGCTCTCACCTCCAGCCACTTGCTCACATGCTCCACCATGAACACGATGTACTGGTTCCCACTCCTGCTTAGGGGCAGCTCCCCTGCCAGGTCTAAGGACCATCGGAACCCTAGCCCGCAGATTGGCAGTGAGGTCAGCTCTGCCTTGGCCTGCGTCAGGTTGGCTTTGCTCCTCTGACATGCCTCACACCCCTCTACCCACTCCTTCACCTGTCTGCGCATCCCTTCCCACCACCAGCCCGTCTTCAGCAGATGTACGGTCCTCTCATGTCCGAAGTGTCCCAGCTTAGTGTGTACCTCTTTGATTATTGCTTCACGGTCCTGTGGCGCTGGCACCAGCTTCCAACCGTCCTCTGTCTTGACCTGCAGCTGCTGCTGGTACCACCTGTAGTGGTGTCCTCGTGCTCTCACTCTGTCAGACACTGCCTCGTCTTCCTCTGTTTCTCCCCTCACCCACTTCATCGCCTTCTCATCCTGCCATATGTCCGCTGGCCCCTTACTCCCCTTGGCACCGACTTGTTCCACTTCTCTCGCCAGCATGATCAGGGTGTGCGCTGGCTCCTGCTCTGTCCCCTCCGTCCCCTGTGTTCCTTGTCCTGTTTCCAGCAGTGGTGGATTACGGGAGAGACCGTCTACGTGCTGCAGCGTCTTCCCCGGCCTGTGCCTGATCTGGAAATCATATTCCTGCAGCTTCACGGCCCACCTGGCGTTCCTTCCCGTCAGCCCTGGTGTGGTCATCAGCCACGTGAGGGGCTGATGATCAGTGACCAAGGTGAACTCGCGGCCCTGCAGGTACACCCTGAAGTGCCCGACTGCCCACACTGCCGCCAGTCCCTCCCCTATGTATGAGCTATACTGCGCCTCTGCGGGGTTGCAGCTCTTGCTGGCGTAGGCTACCACCTTCTCCACTCCCTCCACCCCCTGGCACAGTATTGCCCCCATCCCCTGGCTGCTCCAATCGGTGTAGAGGACGAAAGGTTGGTCTGCTGTTGGCAGCCGTAGCACTGTCGCCGTCTTTACGGCTGTCATGAGGTCTTGGAGTGCTACCCTCTGCTGCTCTCCCCACTCCCATGCCTTGTCCTCACGCAGTATCCCATTCAGCACCGCCGCCCTCTTACTGAAGTTAGGCACAAAGCGCCTGTAGTAGCTGAGGAAGCCCAAGACCGCGCGCAGCCCTGACTTGTCTCTAGGTTCCCTCAGCCTGTCCAGCACCTGTACCTTTGCTTGCTGGATCCCGATCTGTCCCCCTTTCACCTCATACCCCAGGTACTGCACCGTCCGTTCCCCCACCTGCATTTGTTGGGATGGCATGTGAGCCCTGCCTCCTCTATTGCACTCAGGGTCCTCTCCACGTCCTCCAGATGCTGCTGCTCGGTCAAGCTGAAGATGACTACATCATCGATGTAGCATGCTGCATGTTCAATTCCCCGCAGCACCGCGTCCATGACTCGTTGAAACACCGCCGAGGCGTTCCGTAGGCCGAAGGGCATGTATAGCCACTCGTACAGCCCATCCGGTCCGTGGAAGGCTGTCTTCTTCACATCTTCTTCCCTGATTTTTATTTGATTGAATCCCTGGCGCAGGTCCAGCGTCGTGAAGTACACCCCGTCGGCCATCTTGTCAAAGAGCTCCTCCGCCATCGGCATGGGGTACCTGTCCGGCACGGTGATCTTATTAAGATCTCTGTAATCGCCGCACATCCTGCGGCTCAGCACCTCTCCTGTCAAATCCTTCCTGGCTGCCACTACCGTCGGGGTCGCGTACTCTGACTCTGACCTTCTGATCAATCCAGCTTCCAGTAACTCCTTTATTTTCTCCCTGCAGATCGCCTCATCCCCAGGCGGCATCTTTCTTCGGCGGTGGAACACCGGCTCATCGCTGCTCAGCTTCAATGCCATCTCCTTGATCTTGCACTTCCCCAACTCCTGCAGGGTGAAAGCGAAGCCCCTCCTGTGCTTAACCAGCAGTGCCAGCATGGCTGCCTTCCCTCCCTCACTCATGCTCTCACCTATCTTCCACTCATGCTCTGCTTTCGGCAGGCAGGCCCATGCCCCCTGCCTCACCGTTGCTACTGTGTTCTCTCCCTCCTTCAGTCCCCAGCGCAGCACTGTCTCTCTCCACATCCGCTGCACCAACCACCTCATCACGTACCCATCCATTGCGTTCCCCATTGCCCGCCTCCGTTCCTGTTCAGTGACGCCAGGGGCTGCTGTAGCGTTCTCCTTGTACCCCATAGCCAGCTCCCTCTCCAGGGCCGTGGGCTCCTCCCACCTTCCCTTCCCGTGGTCGAGCACTAGTCCTGGGCCTGGCTGCTTCCCATCCATCTGGTACCCTGCTGCCCCCTCATTTGACCCTAGCGTAGGCAGTGCTTGCCTCTCCTGCCCCACTTGATTGCACGGATAATGTCGGCTGTAGCTCTTCTTATTCACTGGTGCTGGCGTTCGCCCAGGCTCCAGTATATCGCTCAGCTTCCGCCCCCCTGCTCTCCGTACCCCCTCTATCTCCTTCTGCAGGTCTTCCGCTGGCACCACATTCTGCCAGTACATCCTGAGCCTGTGTGCGTAAGCTCCCATCCGTGTCGCGTCGCAGCTCACTCCCTTTCCCACCTGTCTGGTCACTCGCTCCCTTACTACTCGTATGGGCTCGCGCACATCTCCTTCCATGTCTAAATGCTCCAGCAGGTAGGCCACCCTGCTTTGTCGAGCCTGCACCCACTCCAGAATTTTGAACAAGTCCTCCATCAGTTGTGTCCGTAGGTCTTGCTCACCCTTGCCCTTCCCTGCCCATGATACCCCTTGGCATTCCCATCCCGCCACCAACAAGTCCACGTGCCCCAGCTCGCCACCTCAGCCTCTGTGATGGCCCGTACATCGTGCACTCCTCTACTCATTGCTGCCTTGATCACTTCTTCCTTCAACAGCTCCGGGAACTCGCGGTGCAGCTGCCATGCGTGATGTTCCGCCATTTTCCTTGCTTCTGCCGCCTTCTCTACGTAAATCCACTGCTTCACTACGATCCCGTTCCGCACCACTGCTGCCAACCCCGCCCCTATACCCCCAAATAGTTCCACCAGGCGGATAGGTTGCTGCCAATCAGTCTGCTGGCTAGGCTCGTCCATGAAGCGCATCCTCAGCTCTCTGCCCTGTCCCTTGCTTGTCGTGCTCTCCTGTGCCCCCTGCTTCACTGTCATTTCCTTCAGATCCGCCCTGTAGGCCCGCTTCGGCTCTGTCTTGACGAACTGCACCGGCAGCTGTCCCAGTGGCTCACCCTTCCTCCACCACCTGGTCCTGAATTCCACCGTCTCCCTCCAGAAGCAGATGGTCATGCCCAGTGCAAAGATCATCTCCGTGCCCACCAAAACGTCGAAATCTTCAGATTCTGAGATCCCGCACCTGATCCTGACCGGCGTTTCGTGCTTCTCTCCTTTGAGCACCGTCAGCTCAATTGGAGTCCTTGTACATGGCATCCACTTTGACTCTCCTCCCTCTGATGTCATCACCAGCATCCCCTTCACTACATGTCTGTCCGGTGCCCACAGTCCCAGCTTCTCGGCCATCCCCTTCCCTAATATCACGCTCTGCGCGCCAGTGTCTATGATAGCCGTCTTGGCCTTCTCCCCTTCCACCGACAGCGCGCCTCCTTGTATCAGCAGCACGGAAGTCTGGCACGACAGCCGCTCCTGAGGGTGCCGTGCTGCTGTGCACCTCTCTTCTTTCGCTTCCGGTTTCTGTCCTTTCTCTCGTTCCTTCCTCACCTGCTCCTTCCGTGCATCCCTTCCCCCGCTGCGCAGCCCCATCTCCTCCCTTCCTCTCCATGCCATGTATGCTGGCTGCTCCTCGTGTTCCACCTCATCCTCCGCTCTTCCTGCCCAGCTCATGAATGCAGCTTCTTCATCCTGCTCTACATCCTCCTCCTTTTCTTTCTTAGCGTACATCCCCGCTTCTGCCTCGCGTCGTGGTCCCATTGCCTGCAGCTGAGCCTGTAGCTTGCCAATCTGCCTTTCCAGGTCCTCTGGTGTCCTCCTCGCTGCTCCCTCCCGCTGATAACACTCCCTCGTTGCATGCCCTCCCTTCCCACAGATGTCACACTTTGGCGCCGTTGGGCATTCCCGCCGCCGGTGTCCGGGCTTACCACAGGAGTCGCAGTTCTTGCAGTCTCTGCGCAAGTGCCCTGGCTGCCCGCATCGGTGGCACGTCCGTGTGTCAGTCCTGTTATCCCCTCTTCCCCCTCCTCTTTCCTTTTCTTCTGGTATCATGGCTGCGGCCCACGTAGGTCCTCTGCCTCGCTCCACTGGGCGTTGCCGGTAGGCTTCGAGCTTCCTCTGGGCCATCTCCATCTTCTCTGCTAGCTCGAATACTTCATCAAGCGTCACGTCAGCCCCCCTCTCGTACACTTTCAGCCGCAGCCCGCTTCCCAAAGTACCCTCCAGGCCGTCCAGAAACTTACTCACGAGCAGGGCCGTGTCCGCGCAACTCACATCCTCTGCCAGGTTAACCAATCGGTTGTAGTAGGTGAGTAGTGACTCGCCCCGCCCCTTCCTGAAGTCCTGAAACTCTCTTTTCTTCTCCGCGGTGTGGCCTGGGAACTGCCGTTTCAGCCATCTTAGGAATGCCTCCGTGGGGTCTTCCCCATACCTCCCTGCCTTCTCCAACAGCTCATCCATCTTCATCCTGTACAATGTCTCTGCCTCCCCTTCCAGTGTGTTCGGCAGGCTCAGGAAAAAGTCTACTGAGTCCATGCCGCTCCTGTCACATCGGTACCGCACATTGCCCACTTGCATGAGGTAGTTCTTCAGCGTGGGCCCCGTGTGCTGATCTCCTGAGAAGCGTGTAGGCACCTCCACCCTCATGCCCACGGCCGTGCCTCCCCTTCCTTCTCCCCATGCCTCGCTCGGCCCTCCCACCGATCTCCCTGATGCTCCCCTTCCTTTTGCCCGCTGTAGGCCCTCCCTTGCTTCCTTGGCTCGCTCCAGGCTGTGCACCAGCCCACTGCTTTCTTCTCTATCGCCATGTTGCTCCCGCCCTCCCTGTCCGGCACATCTTCCGTCGTGCTGCCAATACCGGCCAGGCGATCGAGACCCACCACCGCGCCTCCCATCCCTGCTCTGCCGCCGATGCGGTGAGCGATATCCGCCTCCCCGGCTTTCCCCATGACGCAGGCGCCAGTTGGGCGAGTGCGCCTTGTCTCCCCACTTCTCTCCACGGTACCGTTGCATGTCCGGCGAGCGATTGCCTCCTCCGCGTCTCTCATCACGCGAGTAACGAGGCTCTGGCGAGCGTGAATCCCCTCTGCTTCTCCCGTCGCGATTTCTCCGCGGATCTAGTGAGTGCGTGCTGCCCCCGCGCCCACTGTCCCGGTGTTGCCTCGAATCTGGCGAGTGGTATCCACTTCCGTGTCTCCTCTCATGCAGCGGCCACGGATCTCGCGAGCGCATGCCGTCGCCGCGTCCCCCATCACGAGTGCGCCGCGGATCTGGCGAGCGCACGCCGTCGCCGCGTCCCCCATCACGAGTGCGCCGCGGATCTGGCGAGCGCACGCCGTCGCCGCTTCCCCCATCACGAGTGCGTCGCGGATCTGGCGAGCGCACACCATCGCCGCGTCCCCCATCACGAGTGCGCCGCGGATCTGTCGAGCGCATGCCGTCGCCGCGTCCCCCATCACGAGTGCGCCGCGGATCTGGCGAGCGCACGCCGTCGCCGCGTCCCCCATCACGAGTGCGCCGCGGATCTGGCGAGCGCATGCCGTCGCCGCGCCCCCCATCACAAGTGCGCCGGTGATCTGGCGAGCGCACGCCGTCGCCGCATCCCGCGTCGCATTGCTGACGCAAATCTGGAGAGCGCGAGCTGCTGCTACGCCTCTCGCTGCCACGCTCCTCTCCGTTGCGCGGCGGGTTTCGAGCACCACTCGTTCCGTCCGCCTCCACCGCGCTTGTCTCTGCCGCCACGCTCGCCTGCGCGAGATCTGCTTCTGTTGCTTCTGCAGGCACGTCGCGCTGCTTGCTCACGTCCTCCTTCCAGCCGTCGGCGCCGTTCTCCGCCGCATCGCCGTGCTCGGACTCCTGCGAGGTGTCCGCCGCGTCGCTTTCTTCTACTCCGCCAGCGTTGAGGTCTCCCTCTCGGCCCGAAAACAGTCCTTCCAAGCCTCGCCCGCGCCTCCGATCTTCGCGACGGCGATAACTTGCATCCGGCGAGCGATACGCTCCCGTCTCCTGGCGATATCCCAGATCGCCACCCCCATGGCGCGTTTCCGTCCGCCACGGATCACTCCTCACCATGGCCGATTCCGATCCGCCGGCTCTTCCTAGTGCAGATCCTTCCTCTCGGCGTTCATGCCCGAGAGGCACCTGATCCGCCCGAAAGGCAGGCCTTCGCGGCGATCGATCTGGCCTCCGCGGAGACCGCTCCAGCGACCGCCCACGCTCGCGGGAGTGTCCGCGCCGTGAGCGATCCTGCTCATGCCGACTATACGTCCGGCCATAACGCACGTCGTACCCGTCCATGCTTGCACGCACGCAGAATGCTTTCCGTTTGTTATGAAAGTGACGAGACTCTCACCTCAAAGGTCCTCCCTGAGTGGGTGTCACCAAACGCAAGGCTAGAGGTAACCAGAATCCACTATACGAAAGGATAACAAACGGAAAGCATTGTGTGTGTGTGTGAGAGTGAACTTACCTGTCCCTAGCTCGAGCCGTGCATTTCTCAATGTGCGGCTCGGGCCTGGGTGGGTTTGTTCCCATTGGTCGCGAGGATTTCACCCCTTGGTGATCTCCTACCGACTCCGCGTCAATTTCCCAGCCCCCCACCTACTTATCCTTGAGGCTGCATACACCAAATACAACACATCACTACACCCGTCCTACACCTTAATCATACTGGCACCTTATATACACAACCGTGCATATTCGGTGACAAAGAAGGGTTCAATAAAGAGCAAAGGTACAAAGATATGGGCAAGAACTAGGGTAATGAGGTGCACCACCAAACGGGAAACATAACTACACTAACACTACAGACAATTATATAAATATGAATAACATATTTCGACACACCCCCATAATTGTTTGCAGGTGTGAGTGTAGTAACGCCCCCTAAAGAGGGTACACCATGCAGAGTGCAGCTGAAGTAGCAGCAGTAGGCAGGAGCAGTGACAACCATTGCAGAAAACAGAGAACAGAAGGGAGAGAGGAGAGAGAGAGGGAGAGAGAGGAGAGGAGGTGGTAGACTCTGGTTGGTCACCCCCTACATCCCCTCACCCTCCCCCTCCCCCTCCCCCCCACACTGCTGCAGGAGCAGCAGAGGGGGGGCGAACGGAGGAGGATGGGAAGGGGAGACCACACATCACCCATCATCCCCACACCTGCCACCCCCAGTCCCTCTCCGGGCTCCCCCACACCCTCACACCCTCCCCCCCAGCGGCAGCTGCAGCAGAGGGAGCAAAAGGAGGAGGAGAGGGGAGGGGGGGGGGGGGGGGGGGCGACGCACGGCCTCCCCGGGCGCCAAAGCAGGCGGCAGAGGGGGCGACGCCTGCCCCCCCCTTCCAGGTCGCCGCGGCCCCCTCAGGTCGCCTCGACAGGTGACGGGAAAAGGGGGGGGGGGGGCGGTGCACGTGCCCCCGGTGTGCCGCAGCTGGCGACGGGGCATGGCCGGGGCGGGGTCGGGGCCGCAAGTGGGCGGGGCCATAGGTAGGCGACGGGGCCGCAGGTGAGGGCGGCGGGGCCGCAACCGAGGGCGGCGACGGGCCGCAAGTGAGGGTGGCGACGGGGCCGAAGCTGAGGGCGGCGTTGGGGCCGCAGGTGAGGGCGGCGACGAGCCGCAGGTGAGGGCGGCGACGGGCCGCAGGTGAGGGCGGCGACGGGGCCGCAGATGAGGGCGGCGACGGGCCGCAAGTGAGGGCGGCGACGGGGCCGCAGCTGAGGGCGGCGGGGCCGCAGCGAAGGGCGACGGGGCCGCAGTGAAGGGCAGCGGGAGGGCCGCGAAGGGGCCGCGAGGGGCCAGAAAGGGCGGCAACGGGGCCGCTAAGAAAAAAAGGATAAGGGGCACGCCACGGGGCGTGCCGAACACAGAGTAGCAGCGGAAGCTTTAGGGTGGGCCCACAGGTCAGGATCTTGGTCGCTCTGATACCATGTGAAAGATCTAGCAAGGCTAAGGAGCCATAGCTAGTAGGTCGAGTGAATTGAGTATCGAGCAAGTTGAAAAGTCGAGAGTGAAGAAGGGTTCAATAAAGAGCAAAGGTACAAAGATATAGGCAAGAACTAGGGTAATGAGGTGCACCACCAAACGGGAAACATAACTACACTAACACTACAGACAATTATATAAATATGAATAACATATTTTGACAGGTTGCTACTTTTATCCCTATGTATGTTCATTCGCTGTCTCACTAACATTATGATGTACCATTTCATACTGTTTTAAAGTTATGTACGGTATTTCACATTTCCCATAAAGGGAATATGGGAAAGTAGTTTTACCATGGATTCGGCTAAACATTGTTGTGGTGCTAAACATTGTGGTGTTTCTTCTGAATTGCATCTGGAAGCAGTTTTTCTATTTGCAAAACTGTAGCATATAACAAGAGCAGCTTTTACACGGTCAATACCGATCACCTGCATGCCTGCCAACACTGCAGCTCCTCAATTGAGTTGACCGAGGATTCCTCCGCATCCTCACCTCACTGAGCTTTTTCCGTTTCTGCTTCCTACTGATTACCTCTACCATGGATTGAATCCTTACCTCACCAATCACGACCTTGCTCCTCTGTTCCCGTCACGCGAGTCACTTCGATCCAGCCTGGAACGACCCCGGTTCCGAAGCGCGCATTCCCAGCTGTGACGCGAGGAGCCTAGAAAGGTAATGGTTCAATGTAAGCATCAACTACGTTTTCTCGACGTTGCCATTCGTCCTCAACGATCGTACCCTTTTCAGGTCATTCCGTCCTCAGTCAAGGCTACCTCCCTGCTGTAGTATTTTAGCAGCCAGTAGCTTGTCCCGATCACTCACGCCTCTTGAGTTCTTCGCCATCCTCGAGTCACCGTGGGCTCCTGTGGCTTGCTATTCCCGCTGCTCTGCGTCCTTGCTTTTCTTCCGTTTAGCTATGGCTCCGTGCAGGAAGGTTCAGTATTCACGTTCAAGCTTCGCCATCAGCACACAGTTTCAGCAGATAACCGGCCTATGACCTTCGGCTCTTACAACAGTGGCTGGAAAAGCAGACGCAATCACGAGCAGCGGTTATTTTGAGACGCATTCGCAAGGTGCTGATGCCTACCTGGCACGCTCCATCCTTCAACAGTATCTGTTCCGTTATTCAATGCCTTCACTTGTTATTTGTCTGATTCTGCACAGGGAGCTAAGACTTCCGGATCTAGAAGGCTTCAGGGAGGAGGTCAGGAATCAACCCTTCCGATCAATGGAGGCGTTGAGCAACTGGGGTAGGTCACCAGTCGTCCGTTTATTCTTCGAATATGATCTACATATGTGTCCTGACGCAGCCCGTTTCAACAGGTCCTATTACGTTACACTGCAGCTGGGTTCTCAGAAAGAATCATTGAACACCATCATTGACACTGGAAGCGACCTGTTGTGGGTCAGGTGTACTGGCTGTGCAAACTGCCCTCCAGATACAAGAGTAAGGGATTTGTTCGAAAGCATAAGAATTTGCATGATGGCAAAGACCTGACTTCCACGTTGTTCTACATTTCAGGCTCGGTCGTTCAATGCTCAACAGTCAACGACTCGTCAGAGGATTGATTGTGCTGAGTGCAAGGCGATCAATGAGACCACTTGCGCTGGTCCATATCGGGCGGGGTGTGGAATCGGCTGCACGAGGCTGGGAGTTCGAGGTCGTTGCATTGCTGGATGCGGGTATGTGGAACTTATTTATTCATCTCTCGCTTGATTCAGGTGTGTGGTTAGAGTTTTCACAACATCGTGTTTGAACAGACCCAGTGGCACAAGTCGCTGCAATTATGCTGTCATCTATGGTGATGGAAGCTACACGGGTGGAGTTGTGATGCGTGATGTCTTGACTCTCCCTGGCCGCCCAGCAGAAATATCAGCACCGGTTGCCTTTGGGTAATCAGAGTTATGTTTTGGATAGTTTACATCATATGCGGACCAGATAACTAACCCCCCGGTTGTTGCTTTCAGTTGTGACTTCCATGAGTCCCAAGGGCTTCTCAAAGATCCCTTGATTGGCCTGGTTGGCCTTGGCCAAAGCCCTCTATCCATTCCTTCACAGCTAGCGCAAGAGGGAGTTCTTCAGGGAAATATAATCTCACATTGTTTGGGTGGAGAGGATGGTGGCGGATTTATAACCTTTGGCGCGCCTCCTATGGCTGACTCGAGCATGCAGTTTGTCCCTATGGGGAATGACACCACGTAAGTAACTATGTCACAAATGTCCAGGTCCAGGCTGGACCCGTTTGTTCTCTCTGACATGTGTGTGTGTGTTGATGTGCAGGGTGTACAATGTGACGATATTTGGTATTCAGGTGAATGGTATGGATCTGCAAATTCCTGCTGGCACATTTTCTGGAACTGGTGGTATCATTGACAGTGGCAGCACTGCGCTCACGCTCCCAGAAGCAGCGTACACTCCCCTCAGAGAAGCAGTAGGTTCTCTTTAAGGTTTTCATGCCCTTCGCCTTCAATTTTTCATGTCTGTTGGGTGTTCTTGATTATCATTGGGTCATGAACTTTATTCGATGCAGGTTATCCAAGCTGTTGATGGGAAAGCTCAAAGACTTTCTCAGGAAGAAATCAATCAGCTGGCTGGTGGGAATGTTGCATCTGTATTGAATCTGTGCTACAATGTCTCTTCAAGGTATTTGTCTTGTCTTCAGTTTTTTATGCATGTCATTCTGTTTATGTACTAAGCATACCACTGTGTTCTATTCCAGTGATACAGCAACATTGCAGTCAGCATTCCCGACAGTGGCAATTGTGATGAATGGTGCCAACCTGGAGTTACCACCCCAGAACTACCTATGGCTGTTTGTGAGTACCCACGCCCTGCCTGCTACCATATGGTGTGTGTAGTATTTGCTGAGATAACGCTGTTTGTTTGCTTTGTTTTTTTGTTTTGTTTTTGTTTTTTGCTGGCCTGCAGGACAATTTGGTGTGCTTCTGTGTGTACGACTCGAACAGTGTTGTGGGCCAACCTATTACCATAATTGGAGGTATGATACTGAGGAATCTTCATCTCTCGCACCCATGCCTTAGCGTTTTGGCTCTCGTCTGACATGCTTTCCAAATTTGTGCATGCAGATGTAGCTATGCGTAACAAGCTGGTTGTGTATGATAGAGGGGCAAGAAAGATGGGGTTTCAGACTCTGGATTGTAAAACTGCCTAACTTTAATTCAGTTTAATGTGATTTGCTTTTTTGCCAAGAGGAATGACATAATTCAGTTATAGATAATCTGGAGATGTGTTTGTGAAGAGTCAGATTTCACTTGGCTGTCACATTCGCGGTCTGGCATCAAATCTCGCTTGACCTGACCATACCACTTGGGGTGCCGTACCGTGTTGGAGCATCACAGAAGTCAACGCAATGCCCAGTAGTTGTACTATTTTGGTGTCGAATGTTCCTATATTAGTAGTATAGAGACTGGCGAAGTGAGGATCTCAGTGTAAGTTCGAGTCCGAAGTTGGTAGCAGCCTTCGCGACGTTTAGTATTCACCTCTGATCCACCTGATGCGTTTCGCATGATGGAAACAGTAGCGAATCTCGAAGCAGAGCTGTACCGCGTACGGAGAGACCGACGCTTGCTGCTCTCAAACCTATTAACGTCGCTAGCGGCGACTGGCTGGGCAGATTCGGACCTGGACAGAATCAATGTGGATTACATCCTATGGTGCGCTACGTCAGGTACACAACACAAGTTTCATTGTAGGATTCGCCTTCGCCTTCTTCTAGGCTACACCGGTTGAATGAGTTGTGAGTGCGTTGAATGGCGCTTCGCCTACTTTCCGACTCATATTCGTTACGAAGGTTTGCTCTGTTATCGTCGGGTCTGTACCCGTGAAGACCTTATTCGTTTGTTCGACCTTTTCGTATCGGCTCTTGATGCATACTGCTTCCGTTCGACCTTTCAGGGACGCGCGTGGATATAAAAGCAGCCATTTCAGCCCAACCAACGGTCACTCCGAGGGGTGAGGTGAGAGCTGGACTCGTCTTCCTCGTGTTTCTTTCATTCAATGTCTCAAATGGCTGTATATCATGATAACTGCGGTAGTATGTTCTTGACTCCTGTACACGATTGGATGCTCGGCTTCAGATCTGATCCAGTGGGCCACAGGGAAACGAAGCTCAAAACCAACCTAATTCCTGTTGCCTCTCAACCTCTCCGCATCCCACTCAACTCCGCCTCCCAGGCAGACTTCGTCACAGCCTCCACAGTCATTCTCTCGTCCACAGAGCCCTCCGGCCCTCCGCCTGCTCGCCTCGCTCCCGCCTTTCCAGTCCCCTCTCGCACAGTTCCAGAGTTTTCTGCTCCTCCTCGCCTGCCTCCTGAACCCCACCATCCCCGGCCAGCCTCAGACTTCGCCTCTGCTGCTGCATACGCTCCTCCTGCTCCCGCGGCGCCGTCGTTCCGTGCTGCTGTCCCTTCAGCTGCTCCCGATCGTGTCCCGAACCAATCTTCTAAAACTCACGCATCCGATTCAGCAGCAGCAGCAGCAGAAGCAGCAGCAGCAGGCGGAGCAGCAGTCGGAGGAGCAGCACGGGGAGGTTGGGGAGCAGGACGTGCAAAACCACCAGCCAGAGCCGAGCCAGAGACCCTCCTAGCCCCCCCTCGGCCTCTCTTCCCGCTCTCTCCCCCAGCCCAGCAGCATACCCCAGATTCGCCTCCCCCAGTCAAGCCTAAGGCGCAACAACTAGCCAAGAAGCTGTTTGCCACTCCATTCGCGTCGTCACCTGAAGGCTATTCCACTGAGAGTGATGTTCGCTGCTCCACAGGGACAGATGTGACAGGGGCGCTGAACTGGGGGGGATGGGGACAAGTGGGCGCGAGTGGCTTGGAGTGTGAGGGGGAAAGGTTCGGAGAGGGAGCAGCAGAAGCAGCAGCAGCAGCAGCGGCAGAAGCAGAAGCAGCAGCAGCGGCAGCAGCAGCAGCGGCAGGGGCGGCAGGAGTAAGAGGAAGAGGAGGAGGAGGGGGAGAAGACGCAGGAGGAAGAGGACTGAGGGAAAGCGTAGGAGGGAGCGATGGAGCACGGGAGAGAGTGGCAGTGGCAGGGTCGGTGGAATCAGCTTCGGTGTTTATGGCTTACTCTTCCTCTGCCTCTTCTGTTCACTCCATGTACGCCCTCTCCCAGGGCTCACCGGGCACACCAGAAGCAGCTGGAGCAGCTGGAACTGCAGCAGAAGCAGCAGCACCAGCAGCAGTAGCGGCAGCAGGGGCCATTGATCATGAAAACCAAAAGCCCTCTTCTGTTCACTCCATGTACGCCCTGTCCCAGGGATCAACGCGCAGACCAGAAGCAGCTGGAGCCGCAGCAGCAGCAGCAGCAGTTGCTGCGGGTGTTGCTGCTAGGGAAGCTTCAGCAGCAGCAGGAGGTGCACCAGATGCAGCAGCAGCTTGGGGAGGCCAGCCTTTCCCAGGTAAGCCCTCCCCAGCATCACCGTCCAGTTTAAATCACCCAAACGCCTCAGCATCGGGGTTTCCACACGATGTTATGGGTACCCCAAGTCCAAACCCCATCCGGCCACTGAATTCGAGCCCTGTCAAGACACCAACACAAGAAAAGCCTTCATCGCTGCAGCTGCAAGGTCCTGACAGCCCTGCTCGTACTCCGTATCAGATTCGTTCCCCTCAGCCACTCTCCCCTCGTTCACCTGCAAGCGCCAGCAGGAGCCCTGCTCCCTCCCAACCATCACCTCAGTATGCCCAAACCCCACCGCGTGAACCACTCTATCCTCCTCCTTCCCCTGTCGGAGGCAGCAGGAGTCCTATTTCCGCCGAGCCTTCACCACGGCCTGAAACTCGATACGAACCCTGCTCGCCACCGCCTGAACCACTCTACCCTCCTCCCTCCCCTACAGGAGGCAACAGGAGCCCTGCTTCTTCCCACCGATCTTCTGCTCCCCGATCGGCAGCAGCTGCAGCTGCTCTGAGTGCCCTCGGTGCGGCTACTCTGGCAGCAGGAGGCCCTCCTCTTGCTGCTGGCACTCCTCCTGTAGATGCACAGACCCACGCTCCCTATTCCCATGGCCCATCACCACATAGATATGGTTCGGAGAGTGTGACAAGTAGTGGAACAGGTGGGGGGCGTGAGTCGGCTGTTAATAGCAGGGGTGGTGGCAGTGCTGGTGGGGTTTCTGTGGCCAGCAGCGGGCATGGGTTTGGTAATGCAGCAGGTGCTGATGTGCAGATGAGTGGCGGTGGGAGTGCTGCTGCTGCTTCTGCTGCGGCTTCTGCAGCTGTGGTTACTCCACCGGTCCCAACCCGGCTGGATTTCCAGTCTCCTGTTGGGGAACCACGAAGCAAGAAGAGCGAGAGTGGGAGAGGCAGAGCCGAGGAGTCTGGAGGGAAGGGGAGCGTCCTGGGATCTGCCTGGAGGTCTGGTGGGTCGAATAAGAAGCTGCCACCTGGCACTGATGGGGAGCGGTGGAATGATGACGAGGACGATGATGACGTGGCATCGTCTGATTCGTCCTCGTGTTCGGATTCGTCTGAGATGTCTTCCACGCTTGTGGCGGGCGGTGGCGAGGACTCGCCAGCTGGCACAAGAGATGGAGACTCTGCCAGCTCAGCAAGGGGGCAGCTGAAGTGGCCTTTGCGCCAGCTGGCATCGGGGCTGACAGCAGAGGAGCTTCAAGCAAGTGCCTATGAGGTGCTGCTGCTTGCAGCAGCGGAATCCGGGTGAGTTTGCGTCACTTTTCAAGAGTGAGAGCTTTCGAAAGAGACACAAGCAAGCGCTCATGAGGTGCTGGTGCTCGTGAGACGTCTCAAAACACTCCTTTTTGCAAGAAGCTGGCGACTCAACTCGAAGCAGCCAAATCTGTGCTCTCATCAGGTCTACTTCCTCCGCGTCCCTCTCCCCTCCCCGCCCACTCCAGGCTTGTGTCTGCACCAGCGCCTGGTGCCACCAGTGCAGCCAGCAGCGGCAGCAGCAAGAGCAAGCCCTGGCGGCCTGAATCCCCCGTAGAGCCCAAGTCCAAGTCCCCAGGCGGCTTCATGTCCCGCTTTGCCAAGAAGGTCGGGGTCAACGTGGGGCAGTTTAAGGGAGCCAAACCTGCTGCTGGCATTGCTGCTGCTGGTGGTACTGGTGGCGGTGGCGGTGGTGGTGGTGGGGGTGGTGGAGAGAGGGGGATTGGGGATGGGAGTGGAGGGGAGGGAGGAGGAGGAGCCCTGTCCCCGGAGCTGGCTCGCATGCGGCAGCAACTAGGGGTACGTGATCGGCGCTTCTCCTGCCTTGTCTTACCGTACGCTTGCCTTTTCCTACCATTCTTTCCCTGCATGCATCTGCTTCTTTCCAGTCTCTGTTCTTCCCATGTTTTCTCCTCCCCAGGAGATGTTTTTTTTTCAACTTTCAATCTGCAAGTGCTTATTCCGTCCCCGGTATCTCCCCATCACGCTCCCACCTATGGCAGGTACCCGAGTCTCTCCACGCTCTCCTCCTCTCAGCCCTCTTCTTCCCACCCCCCTCACATACCGTCGAAATGCCATCCCCCATCAGCCCCCTCATCGGTGCAGCAGCAGCAGCAGCAGCAGCAGATCATCCTGCCTCTCTTCATTCTCTCTCCATTCCTTTCCCCTGCCCTTCCCTGCTTCCCTCTCCCCCCTTTCCACAGGTACCCGAGTCTCTCCAAGCTCTCGTCCTCTCAGCCCTCTTCCTCCCACCCCCATCACACACCGTCGAAATGCCATCTCCCATCAGCCCGCTCACCGGTGTAGCAGCAGCAGCAGCAGCTGCCGCCATTCCTCCCCTCCCGCTCCCGCTCTGCCTGCTCCTCCACTTCTCCCCCATCCCCGCCTCCCTTTCCTCCTCCTTCTCCCCTGGAGTTGATGCTCTGAAGGCCGCTGCTTCTTCTCTCGCTGCGTCATTCTCCAATCTGTCGCCAGACCTCCGTAGAGCTTTCTACCACAGACAGGTGTGTAAGTCTGTATTTTTCTCTTGCTCTTCTTGTTTTTGTTTGTTATTGTCCCGTATTTGCTTGTGTGTGTGTGTGTGTGTGCTTGTGTGCGTGCGTGCCCGCATGTGTGTGTGTGGTGTAAACACTGGACTTTCCTTTGTGCCACAATTCCAGTCGACTTGCCTCATTCCATTTTGGCCCCACAGGCTCTACCGCTGCATGATCCCCTACCATTTCGCTTTTCCGCCCCCATTCCAGGTGAAGCTGCTGCAAGAACTGCTGTTGGACGCCACAGGCAATGCAAAGCCACAGGGCACAGGAAAGGGAGGAGCGGGAGGAGCAGGAGGAGCAGGAGGGGAGGCACAGGGTGGGGATGATCGTGCTGAGGTGGCAGCCGCCCTGGATGCCATGCTGGCACTTGTAAAGGTGAGCTGGACGCTGACTCACTCGCGGCGCACCCCCTGCACGCCCATATCATCAGTCAGTCCGTCTGATAGATGCTCAGCTCACAGTGAAAGCTGCCCAACCTCTATTTTAGGCGCCTCAAAGACTCATATCACCAGTCCGTCTTATACGTGCTCAGAGTGAGAGCTGCCCAAACTCATTACAAAGCTTGCATTGCCCCCTTTTTCCTATTTTCCCTCGTTTCCCACATTTCCCTCTCACCCCACCCCCCACTAGTTACCACTCATTTTCACTCACCCTATCTCTCTCCCCTGACTTCTTCTCCTCCCTCTTCCCCTCACCATTTCTCTGCTGCGAGCTTCGCTGGCTTTTTTTATCCTCTGCTCCTCCCCTTTCACCTTAATCCACTTTCGCCATTCCTTTCCCTTTCCAGGGTCACGAGTTCATCACCTCGCCTCCCTCCTTTGAGGCCAAGTGGAGCCGGAAGCTGAGCGAGTTGCGCTGGCTGATCCTATCCTCTGCTCCTTCTCTCTCAACCGATTTCACTCGCTCCTCTCCCTCTCACCCTATCCCTCTCCCCCCATGCAGGGTCACGTGTTCATCACCTCCCCGCCCTCCTTCGAAGCCAAGTGGAGCCGGAAGCTGAGCGAGCTGCTTTTGATTCAAGCCCACTCCCTCTTCCCCTCCCCTCCCTCCCACACCCATCCAGGGTCACGAGTTCATCACCTCTCCTCCGTCCTTCGAAGCCAAGTGGAGCCGGAAGCTGAGCGAGCTGCTTTTGATTCAAGCCCACTCCCTCTTCCCCTCCCCCTCCCTCCCACACCCATCCAGGGTCACGAGTTCATCACCTCCCCGCCGTCCTTCGAAGCCAAGTGGAGCCGGAAGCTGAGCGAGCTGCGCTGGCTGCTGGTGGGGGGATTCGCCTGGGGCGGCAGGAGAGGAAACGCAGCAGCACTGGCCGCAGCAGCAAGCCACAATGCTGGCGGTGGTGTGAGGCAAGGGAAGCAGCTACCGGTGCTGCCTGGTGCCTGGTGTCCCACCCGAGCGACCTTCAACGCATCTCTGTACCATCAGCTGCTGTCCGCCTGCTGTGACCCCTCCGATTCAGCCTCTTCCATCGACCTCCTCTTTGTAAGTCCCTTTGGGAAATTGTTGTTGTGTTGCTGTCGGCCTGCTATCGGCCTGCTGTCGGCCTTCTTTTGCCCTGCTCTATGCCTGTTGCTCGCTGCCCGCTGCTGTCCTGGTGCCCCATTGAAGCCAGCCTGAACGCGTCTCTGTTCTGTACCATCAGCTGCTGTCCGCCTGCTGTGACCCCTCAGATTCGGCCTCTTTCATTGACCTGCTCTCTGTAAGCTCAGCTCAGCTAAGCACAGAATACAAAGACGACACGTCTGAGCCGTGTCTTGCTCAGATCCGAGGGCACCTGCATTGTGAGTCTATTTTTGAGTCGACTCAGGAATGTGCTCAGAGGGCACCTGTGTCGTGCTCTTGCTCTCCCCCCTCATTGCTCTTCCCCACCTTGTTCTGACATAACACCGTGTTTGTTCTTCCCTTCTCTCTAATGGCCCTTTCATTGATAGTCAAGGTGTACAGACATGCAAGGTATGGGTCATCACGTACGTGGGGCTAATAGAGAATACAATTCCTATTCACTCCGCAGCCCAACACCCTCTAAGTAAGATCCAGTGCAGGATCAAGAACCGAGAGGCAGTCCCCAAGGGACGGTGCCTCCCCCACTGCCTCTAGTAGCGGGTTTTCAACCGCTGCTGCTATGCTGCACTTTTCCAGGTACCCAATCGACTGCCCCCGTTGAAGAGCCACCGACCACCGCTGCCGGTATTGGTGTAAGAGCTTGGCAGCTTGGTAGGAGGTTGGCTCGGCGTTGAAGAACCGCCGTGCAGCCGTTTCTGCGAGGAGTTTCAGGAAGTCCACTGACTCGGGGCATGGGCACCCGTATGTCTTGACCGCTAGTGGGAAAAACTTCACCCAGTCTGGGCGGTCCTTGTAAAGGCCGTGTTTCTTGTCTGCCGCCTTCTCTCTCTCTCTCTGTCTTACAATCTGCAGGAGATGGAGGAGAGAGTTGAGGCCCTCAGGCCCACGTGGCACTCTCTGGGAGTGACACCTGTCACGCACAGCGCCCTGCAAGCTTGGACCCTCTGCCAAAAGGTATGCTTGCGGTGGCTGTCTGACCAATGTTCATGAGTCCCACACTATTTTCCCACCGTCATCTCCCTGTGCAGTTCGATGAGGTCCTATCCTCATCCCCCGCTCGTCCTCTCTCTCATTCTTCCTTGCTCTCGCATCATGTCCCCTGTTCTCCCCCTCTCCTCCTCCATCGTCTCCCTCCTCTTCCAGGCTTCAGTTCCAACTCTTCCTCACCCGCTCTCATCACCGTCGCCAGCTGGCGGTCTGCCAGATCAGCAGCAGCAGCAGCAGCTTCTGCCAATCAGATCTGTGCTTCCGCTCATCTGCCAATCACTGCGCCGCCTCCCAACCACTGCCTGTGCACGACCATCGTCATCATCATCATCATCCGCAGCAGCAGAAGCAACAGGAACAGAAGCAGCAGCAGCAAAAGCAGTAGCAGCAGCAGATGGCAGAGAGGAACCTTCAGCGAAGGTTCTCCTTCACCCGTTCGTGCAGTCGGTGTCTCGCTTCCTGTCATCACTTCTAAGTGACTACCACCACACGCTGCTGGAGGTGAGTGATTAGTTTGTTTTTGAGTCACTCAAAAGTCTCCTTCACCCGTTCGTGCAGTCGGCGTCTCGCTTCCTGTCGTCGCTCCTTAGTGACTACCACCACACCCTGCTGGAGGTGAGTGTTAATCACTGCCCCAGGTTTGAATCGACTTTTGAGTCGACTCAAAGGTTCTCCTTCACCCGTTCGTGCAGTCGGTGTCTCGCTTCCTGTCGTCGCTCCTTAGTGACTACCACCACACCCTGCTGGAGGTGAGTGTTAATCACTGCCCCATGTTTGAATCGACTTTTGAGTCGACTCAAAGGTTCTCCTTCACCCGTTCGTGCAGTCGGTGTCTCGCTTCCTGTCGTCGCTCCTTAGTGACTACCACCACACCCTGCTGGAGGTGAGTGTTAATCACTGCCCCAGGTTTGAATCGACTTTTGAGTCGACTCAAAGGTTCTCCTTCACCCGTTCGTGCAGTCGGTGTCTCGCTTCCTCTCGTCGCTTCTAAGTGACTACCACCACACACTGCTGGAGGTGAGGGATTAATTTGCTCCTTTGGCATCACAAAAGTAGAATCGTTGCTTTTAAGTGACTACCACCACACACTGCTGGAGGTGAGTGGTTTCTCACCCCCCAGGCTTGAATCCCTTAACCCGTGCAGCCATGCCCATGAGCCCATGTCCATATCTGGCTCTGTAGTCTGCTGCTCCTCTCACGTACCATACCCCACACGAATGCCTCACATCTCCCCTCCTCTCTCCGTTCTCCCTCCAACCCGCTCTTATTTCCAGGCGTCTAGCGCGACTAGCAGTACAGGCGCGAGTGCAGACGGATTGGCAGCACTAGAGTTTGCTCTGGACTCGTTTGTGCTGCTGTGACCTGCTTCATCAGTCCGCGCTTTTTCCCCCTCGTCTCGTCCCTGCCCCTGACCCGTGCCATTTTATCCTCTAATAATTTCCAGGCTTCCAGCAGCAGTGGCGCGAGTGCAGACGGACTGGCAGCACTGGAATCGGCTCTTGACTCGTACCTGTGCTGCTGCGACCTGCTGGAAGCAGGCAGGAAGAGGAGCAGCCGAAGACACACGGTGAGTGGGGTTCATGGGGAGTGGATGGGAGAAGGGAGGGTGGTGAAGATAGGGGAAGAGAAATGGGCAGTCATTTTTTCAGACCGCCTTGCTTCTGTGAGCAAGTTCAGGGAGGGTGGACCCTCAGTGTACCCTTTATCAACCTCTTAACTGCCACCCTGGATTTGCTCCTTCCCTTCTGAAGCCCAGAACCCGAAGCACCCTGTTTCACTCTCTTCTCTTCCGTCCTCTCCCCAGGCCCCAGGGGGACCACCGAGCATGGAGCGAGTGGAGGACGTACTCGAGTTTGTTCACACGTCAGTGCTCTCCTCCTTTGACCGCGCGTGCCTAGATGCTATGGCAGCAGCAGCAGCAGCGAAAGCCCAGAAAGACGCACAGGATCAGCACAATGACGGAAGCTCCTCCTTCTCTTTCCCAGACTCTTCCACAGACGGGCCTGCTTCGGATTTCAGAGCAGCAGGGGCGGGCGGAGAGGTGGGATTGGCTCAAATGGCTGAGCTGGCGAGTGTGATTATAGAGAGGGAGGCTGGGGGAATGGTTGGGGGGGTTGAAGGGCGAACAGGGAAGGGAGGTGGGAGGGGGAGGGGAGGGGGAGCGGAGGGAGGGGCGGCGAAGGGTGGATGTGTTGCGGTGTTCAGGCGGTTGGGGGTGTATGGGACAGCAGCAGTGGCGGCAGCAGCGTTGCATCAACAGCTTGATTCACAGCTGGTGGGTTGTGTGAGCTGCTTGGATGGCACAGCAGCAAGTCTCAGAAACGTTTTCAGGTGGCTGGGCCTGGGGCTATGATGCGAAAGACGCGTCCTGCGTCCTGGACGCATGCGTCCAGACGCATGCGTCCAGACGCATGCGTCCGGACGCAGGACGCTTCACCAGGACCAGAAAGACGCACCAAAAGACGCAGTCCCGGGCAGGCAAAAAAAACCCCCGGGCAGGCAAAAAAACCCCCGGGCAGGCAAAAAAACTTGTTATAGGGCATGGGATGAGGGGGGGGGGGGGGAACGTTCCACACTTTCAAGGCAAACTTGGCCCCAACATCAAATTTTCCCCCAAATCTCAAGATTAAGGTGAGTCACGTATTGTCACACACATGTCCCAAGGTCACATGCACAGTTTATCGTATCACTGAAGAACACGCATACTATTAAACTACCACCACAGCACTGCATGCAGGCAACCAGTCATCTCATCCCATTAAATATGGTGTTTGGGCTTTTGCGGTTTCTTCTCCACCCCATCACTAGTGAAACGCTGCGGGGGAGACTCGTCCTCGGCATGAACATCCCTAGATGCGTTTGATGACGTAGGGTTGCTTGAGGAAGCCATAATGGAGCTAAGCTATGCTTGTAGGCTAAAACCTCTAGGGTTTTCGAAAGAGAATTGGTTGGGTGGGTGAAATGAGAAATGACTTGGTTGGATTGCTAAATGGGCTTGGTGGTAGGCACCTTGGTTGGGTTTTCTAGATGTGAAGTGGTTGAGAGGTATTTGGAATTCAATTGTTGCATGGGGGGTTATGAAATGTTGGGGGGGGGCTGTTTTTTAATGTCGAATTGGGCAATGGGGGGTCAAAATTTCGCAATTTCGACAGTCGCGTCAAAATCGCGAGATTGAAATTCGTAATCTGGAAAAAAAAAAAAAAAATCGGGGCAGCCCGAAAAATTTTCGATCTGCGTCCTGCGTCTGGACGCGCGTCTTGCGTCCTAGCGTCCAGACGCTGCGTCCAGACGCAGTACGCAGCGTCCTCTGAGCGTCTTTCGCATCATAGGCCTGGGGTGAGGGTATGCTTGTTTTCTTTGGACCAGCAGCAGTGGCAGCAGCAGCGCTACACCAGCAGCTGGATTCGCAACTGGTGGGTTGTGTGAGCTTGGTTAAAGCAATAGGCTTAGATCATTCTCAGAAACGATTTCTGCAAGTCGTTGGTGCTTCTTGTATCCATATCTTTTTCCTGTGTGCACCTCCGACCCACCAGGGCCGGTTCCTCGCAGTGGTATCAGAGCTGCACTGCACCCCGACTGCTGGAAGGAAGGCGTTTTCCCTCTAAACCCTCTCCATGCGTTCTCACCACATTCCACCATTCCCAACGTCTCCCCCCCTGTGTACTTCTGCTTATCCATCACTACCCATCAGGACCCGTTCCTCTCAGTGGTATCAGAGCTGCACCCTGACTGCTGCAAGGTGTTTATCCTCCAACCCCTGTTCGTCCATTCTCACCACACTCCACCACTCCCAATGCCACCACCAGGACCCGTTCCTCTCAGTGGTATCAGAGCTGCACCCCGACTGCTGCAAGGTGTTTTACGCTGTGGATGCATTCGACCGGCGCGTGCAGCAGGTGGTGCAGGGGGAGGTGTGGGCGGAGGAGGAGGAGGCGAAGAAGAGAGCAGGAGAGGGGCATGGGGGATACGGGCATGCTTCTCAAATTGCCAGCGAGCTGAACGCTTACCAGGTAAGTCTATCTGGATGCATTCGACAGGCGTGTGCAGCAGGTGGTGCAGGGGGAGTTGCGGGCGGAGGAGGAGGAGGCAAAGAAGAGGCAAGGAGATGGGCATGGGGGATACGGCGATGCAGCCCCCCGGGGATTGCAAGCGAGCTCATCGCCTACCAGGTAAGCCCCCCTGTCGAAGGTGTCCGTAGCAGCTGTCAGGCAGAGAGCAGGAGTGGGAGATGGGCATGGGGGATGCGGCCATGCTGCAAATATTGCAAGCGAGCTGAACCCGTACCAGGTAAGTCCTTCTATGACCTATCAGATGAGTGAGTAGGGCTCATCTGACAGCACCTGCCAGGCAGGCAGAGAGCAGGAGTGGGATAGATAGGGGAATGGGGGATACGGCTACGCAGCTCAGATTGCAAGCGGGCTGTTCACAGTTTGCTCATACCAAACCTCTTCACCCTCCCTTGTGGTTGTCGTACGCCTGCCTGCCCTCAGATTGACCCTGTGATGAAGCTTCTTTTGAGGCGCATGGGTGCCTAAATGACTATGATTATGTTTCTGCCTTTCCATCAGATTGACCCTGTGATGAAGCGTCTGTTCTCAGCCTGGGTGTCAGCGCAGCAGCAGAAGCTCCACGTGTGGATGGAGAGAGGAGTTGAGGCAGAGGTGAGAGAGGAGGAAGGGAGGAAAGATGAGGGGTGGAGCAGGGTAAATGCAAGGAGCAGGTGGGGTGGTGTTGCCAGCCTATTGCCTAAACGTGCCTAAGCGACTAATAAGTGTGGATGGAGAGGGGTGTGGATGCCGAGGTGAGAGAGGGATCCGGTTTCTTTTTAGGGACGATTTGTCTGCATTCCGGTTCTCCGTCTTTCCAGCTACTTCTCAACCCCTTGCCCCACTCTTCACCCGCTCGACTCATTCGCTCTTCTCACCCGCTCGCCTCGCCTCTCGCGCTGCTTCTGCTGCAGACGTTCGAGCCGGCTTCAGATACACTCAAGCACGGGGCTTTTGCAGTGGATGCTGTGCGGCTGGTAGAAGAGGTGAGGCTTGGGTGGTTGTGGGAGAGGTGTGCATTGGGTGGTGAGAGAGGTGGTGTGGTGTTGCCTGCCTATTGCCTACCTCTACAGGCGACAGCTGCGCTTTTATTAGGCCTTTCTATCCATACCTCAAGCACGGGGCGTCTGTGGTGGATGTAGTGTGGCTGGTGGAAGGGGTGAGGCTTGAGTGGTGGTGATGAGGGTTCGACTGGTGAAGGCCGCAATTGTGACTCGGTAGCTTTCCCCCCCTCAAGCACTGAGCTTCTGCAGCGCATGCTGCAGCAGACGGTTTACAGCACCAATATCCTCTTCTGCTCCTCCTTGTTGCTCCTCGTGACTTTTGAGTGACTCATAAGTCACCTCGTTACAATGGCAGATGGTCCATAGCACCAACATCCTCTTCTTCTCCTCCCTGTTGCTCCTGGTGACTTTTGAGTGACTCAGAAGTCACCTCCTCACAATGGCAGATCACAGGCGCATCATACACAGGCGCATCCCCTCCCTCCGCTCTCCACCATACCATAGGCGCATGAGCATTTGCTGTAGCATGAGCGGTTCTTCCGCCTGAGTTTCCCCCCCCGCTTGCCCATGCTATGCTCCACAGCACCCACACCCTCATGACATGGGCGCCTATGTTGCCAAAACATCTCTGTGACAAGTCCTAGAGGCCTGGGCCTCCCTTTCCACCTGCCCATGCTGCAACAATAGTCCACAGCACCAATACCCTCATGAGCACCCGCGTTGCTTGCCACTCATCCCTAGGACTCCTCTCCTCCGATCCCCTATTCCAGGTGCCAGAGCAACCGAGAGAGTTGTTGCTGCAAACATGAATCGAATTGAGGCAACATAATACGTTAGTTTCAGGATAAAAATGAATCGACATTTCATCAACTCACCAACCCAGCAATCCCCTTTTACCTCTCTAGGAAGTCGTGCCGGGTATGGGACGAGACTCTTCTGGCCACTAGTCTTGCAAGCAGTCGGCTTGAGCACACAAATCCAGCTTGCGAGCGATTAAGATCAAGAATTGTGAGGATAGACCATTCCACTTCATCTCAAGTGACGCGTCATAACATTTCTCGAATCAAACGCCAACTTACATGGCCAACTTGTCGTCAGTTTTTGACTCGTTAATTTCGACGATAAGTTGGCCATGCGAGTTGGCGTTTGATTCGAGAGATGTTCTGACGCGTCACTTGAGATGAAGTGGAATTCTCTCATCGCAATGCTTGATCTTAGTCGCTCGCAAGCCGGATTTGTGTGTTCAGGCCAGCTGCTCGCAAGACTAGTGGCCAGAAGAGTCTCGTCCCATATCCGGCACGATTTCCTAGAGAGGTAAGAGGGGATCGCTGGGTTGGTGACTTGATGAAATGTCGATTCATTTTTACCCCGAAACTGACGTTCTGTGTTGCCTCAATTCGATTCATGTTTGCAGCAACAACTTTCATGATCCGCCAATTCTTCCGCCTGGGCCTAGGTTGCCAAGATCGCTGCGCTCAGCCCCAAATACCACCTCAAGCTACCTCCCTGTCTCCCTATCCCCCCTTGCACCCCCTACTGCAGGTCCTAGAGCAGTTCTTTCGTCTTGGCCTGCCCCCCCGCCTGCCCATGCTGCAACAAATAGTCCACAGCACCGACACCCTCATGAGCGCCTATGTTGCCAAGATTGCCGCTCTCGGCCCCAGGGACGACCTCAAGCTGCCTCCACCGCCCCTCACGCGCTTCAAAGAAGACTTGGCTCAGAGGCTGGCTGATAAGGCGGAGAAAAGGGCGGAGAGGGAGGAGAGGGTGCAGAAGGGGAAAGCGGGGTACTTGGAGGGGTTGTGGCATGCGCGGAAGGGTGTGGGGGGGACGGGAGGGGGAGTGGGAGGGAGGGGGGCGGTGAGGGCGGTGGATGCGGCGAAGGCTGCTGCGATTGATGCTCTGACTGTGAAGAAGCTGTGTGTGCGGATTAACACTCTGGAGGTGAGAATCAGTTGGGTGTTTCACAGGTGTGTGTGCTGTGCAGGTTGATAGTGCACCTTCTGCACCCTCTCTTCTGCACCCTCTCTTCTGCACCCTCTCTTCTGCACCCTCTCTTCTGCACCCGCTCTTCTGCACCCTCTTCTCACCTGCGTCTCGTATTCAAGCAGCCATGGAAATAACTCTCTTCTCGCCTCCTCTCCTTCCTGTTCCTCTCACACCAGTTTGTGACAGCCGAGCTGGACAAATCCGAGAAGGCTCTCTGTGAGCGCTGGGATGAGTACGCTCCTCACCTCAAGATCGATGACATGGCAGGTGAGCATGCTGACCTGGCACCTGTGTTTGCTACATGGCATGTGAGAATGCTGACGTGGCAGGTGAGCATCGACCGAACCAAATATTCGTTCCTCCGTTCCCTGGTCCTTATCCTCATCCATTTCTTCACCTCACTCTTTCGTTCTCCCCTGTTCTCCCATGTTCCACTGTTTGTCCCCTGTTCTCCCATGTTCCACTGTTTGTCCCCTTTTCTCCCATGTTCCACTGTTTGTCCCCTTTTCTCCCATGTTCTACCATGTTGCAGCCATGGCCCCGTCTCAGCTCGCCTCCTCCCTCGCCTTCCGTCTCTCCACAGAGGGCGTGGCTGGGCTCAAGAGAGGAAGCTTCTATGAGCAGACCACCACGCTCGCAGCACAGCGCATGCAGACCCTCTCAGACTACCTCGGTCAGTGCGTGTGTGTGGACGGGGAGGGGATAGAGGGAGGAGTGGGTTGGTGTGACTTTGGGAGGAGAGGGGGGAAATAGTGTGGGTGTGCAAGTAAGCTTCTATGAGCAGACCACCACGCTTGCAGCACAGCGCATGCAGATCCTCTTGGCCTACCTTGGCGAGTGCCTATTTGATCTCGCTCACTCGTATCACCCCTGTCATTTTGGATTTGCGTAATATTCATGTAGCATCCGACCTTGGTTGGTTGTCATTACAAATCTGTTGATTCTGAATTGGATATGATTGTTTGTTTGATATGTTTCCATTTTCCCCTCGCCTCTCTCCACCCAGGCACCAAGGTGGTGCGATGGAACCTGAGGGAGGTGTATCTAGAGGAGCCCGATGGAGCAGCCGTTAGGTATACACCCCTCCTGTTTAAACACAACAAGGTGCCCCTCCTATTTATGCTGTTCCTTGCAGGCACCAAGGTGGTGTGGTGGGACCTGAGGGAGGCGTTTCTGGAGGAGCTGTATCGTGTGAGCGTGGAATCCTGTCGCATGAGCAACCTCATGCTCAAGCTCGACCCGGTCAGTTTTTTCCTTTGTTTTTTTCCACCGTTTCCCAATTTTCGCCATGTTGTGTCGCATGCGGGAGCATGCTTATTTAATTCACCACTATGTGTGTGTGAACTGGTCCGTGTATCCACTTGCAGGTGTTGGGGGAGATTGTGGAGACCGTCTCGGACTCTCTGAGGGATCGTGTCGTCACCTCTCTCCTGCACTCTGTTCTGGTAATTTGGGTTTGTGTTTGTGGTTTTTTTCTTTCTTTTTGTGGGGGAGGGGAAATGGGGGGAGGAGGAGGGGGGAAGGGACTAAGAATATTTTTTCTTACACTTATGATCATTCTTCAGCGATTTATTTTTCATCTTGTCCTAACGTCCCTCTGACCAGCACATGCGAATTCTGAATGTTGTTCACTCTTATCTCTGAAACCACTCTTAAAACCCTTCCACTTCATCAGGAGGGCCTGCTGCGCGTGCTTCTGGACGGCGGGCCTCTGAGGGTGTTTGCTCAGTCAGACTACGATGCCCTGGAAGATGACCTCCGCATTCTCAAGGTGAGCAGCTGATGTAGCTAGCATGACATGAGATTGCATGTCATGGAATGGTATTTGATATGGCATGGTGTGACATGACTTAACCCGTCAGACTATGATGCCCTGGAAGATGACCTCCCCATTCTCAAGGTGAGAGGGGTGATATCACATGAGAGAACACATGAGTCAGCTCACATGAGGGGTGATATCACATGAGAGAGGACCTTCCACTTCCCCCTTCCCGTTTCCCTCTTACCGTCCCCTTTCTCCTTCCCCCTCCCTCCTCCCCCATTCCCTCTCCCCATTTCCCCTCCCCCAGGAGTTCTTTGTGGCGAATGGCAACGGCTTGCCACAGGAGGTTGTGAACAAGGCAGCAGCTCAGGTGCAGCAAGTGCTCAACTACTACTCCCTCGATGTGAGTGTTTTGTACAGTACTTGTAACTTTGCAAACTTTCTATACCTCATTGGTAAGGTCTTTTTTTATATGACCCCTCCACTCCACAACCACCTGTTCCAGTAACCTTAGCCTCAACTATGGTTTTTGTTGACATGTGCGCATGTCATCATTAACCTCGACGTGTTCTTTCAACTGTCATCTCCCCCTTGACAGACTGCTGACGTCATTATGGTTTACAAGCAAGCAGCAGGAGCCAGTCAAGCAGCAGGCGGTGCGTTTCGGGCCTCGTCATTTGTGAAGGGAGGTGGCGCAGGGCTCACTGGGCACGATGCACATGTGCTTCTGCGCGTGCTTTGCCATAGGGCGGATCGGGAAGCTTCCAAGTTCCTCAAGAAGCACATGCACCTGCCTAAGTCATAGTAATTAGAAAACAAACGAGGATAAAAACAGAATATAGGTGTACTGGGCATAACGTAGATGCCCATTAATTTTAGCACAGGCTAGTGTTTTGAGTGTTTATGTAAGGAATTTTCTCGGCATTCCTTGTTCGCCCGTTACTGCTAACGGAACTTCGCCGACTTCGCGCGCACTGTTTTACCAAACCTCGCACTGCTGGCATGGCCGTATCGGCCTACGCTTCGGGACTAGCCCGAGCCTCGCTCCAGCGTAGCACTAGCAAGCTCGCACGCACCGCGTTACCGTTTTGCATGTTTCGCGTATAAATGTTCGCTCATGCCTTCGCTCACATTTTGTACTCGTTTGACACCTTAGTGCAATTCTCGCTACCTCGATTCATTGCACCCGTAACACTTGGTATCAGAGCCCCTTTCTTTCGGACCGCGCATCTCCACACACCAGGAAATCAACTTTTGATTTTTCACTCGAAGGGACTCACGCACCTTAGCCCCTAGGAGCCGCTGTCCTCGCGTTCTCTCGTAAACGCGTGCAGCCACGACTGCGCCTAGACTAAGACGAGCCGACGCCCTTCGTCATGGCCGAAAACATCGACGTCACCACTCTCACGCAGGAGCGTTTGAACGATCTGCTGCGACAACTGCACGAAAGCTCCGAGGAAATCGCGGCATTGACGGCAGAACGCTCATCACTGCAAAATGACCTCCTGAGAGCACAATCTCAAGCACCTGGCACTCCGATCCAACCCGCACCCTCAACATCACAACACGGGAGTGTGGGGCAACCCGCGAGCGCGGCCAGTGATGGCGTCGTCCGCCCCGACGGAGACGACGACCACGGCACGACACACCCCAGAGCGACGCCTGCGGCCCCAAGTCAGCCTCGCGTCACGATTTCGGCACCAACCCACGATTCGGGACTGCCGTCACCGATGCCGCTGAAGCCGCAGCGCCCGCCATGCTTTGACCCGAGTCAACGGGGTGGTCCTACCGTTCAGGCGTGGTTATTCACAATGAATGTTTTCTTCGACGCCAACTACGTCTCGGAGGACTCGGCGAAGATTCGATACGCCGTGTCGTTGCTGCGAGGACCCGCCATGGACTGGTGGCGCGTCATCGTCACGAAGCCGACCGACTACGCGACACTACCGACACGGGAAGGACAAACCGGACCCTGGGCGCCGTCGTATTTCGTGGAGGTGCCCCAGTATCGCACGTGGGACGCGTGGTGCGCAGGTCTGCGCGCTCGATTTGAGCCAATCGCGGCCTCGATCTCGGCGCGACAGAAGCTCCGCACTTGGCGCCAACTCGGTTCCATCCAGGATTACACGAGCGGATTTCTGGCGCTATGCGAGCAGGTGGGCTACATGCATGAGAGCGAACGCATCGACCGCTACATCGGCGGCCTGAAGCAGGACATCGCTCAGGAAATCTAGCTTCGCGGCGTCACTGAGTTTCAGGAAATTCTCGCTATGGCGGAGAAGCTCGACTTCTTTCGCCGACCGAGACCGGGGTCCTACGGAAACAACACCTGGGGACATCGGCCTCGTGGGACGAACGAAAGCGCCACGATACGCGCCGTCGCCGCAAATGCCGCTGCCGCACCGTTCAAAGGGCGCTGCTTTGCGTGCAATCGGCCGGGACATCGCAAGAACGAATGCCCGGAAAACGCTAAGGGAAAGGGGGAAGCTGAGCAGCAGACACAGACCAAGCAGCAGGGAAACGCTGGAAGTCAGTAGCAGACGGGCCCTCTACTGACAGGTCACGCCGCTCGCCCGACCCAACCGACCCTCACCGAGTGATTGTGCCGGTTCACGCAATCGACCACACCCGGCCGAATAAGGAGGGTACCACGGTAGATAGCCCTATACTGCTCAGTGGGAAAATTGGGACGGACTTAGTTAAAATCTTCGTAGACGGGGGAGCCAGCCACAGCCTCATTAACACTGCTACAGCACGCAAACTGCGACTGCCACTGGACCGATGCTTACCTGAGATCGACGCACGACTGGTAGACGGCACGCCGCTGGCAATACGGGAACGCGTAGACCGAGTTCGGATTCGATGCGGGGGTAACTTCACGTTTAGTCAGGAAATGCTCGCAACGACCCTCGACGGAACCGACATTTTACTCGGGCGTGATTGGCTGCGACGACACAATCCGCGAATTGACTGGACGACGGGTGACTGCACCGTGCGAGTAAACGGTAACAACATCGCCTTACCTCGCTGGGGCTCGCCTGAGTCTTCGTCGGTGCGTGTCAACGCGATCACGATGAAACGCGCTGTTGCAGCCGGAGCTGACGTGTACGCGGTTGACATTCGGGAAGCCGAGGCAGCAGACAAGGGGGGCGATTTACAGAAACTGCTGACCGACGTACCGAGTGACCTGGCGGCACTGTTAAAACAGTACAGTGACATTTTCCCGGATGACTTACCGACGGGACTGCCACCTCAGCGACCGCACGATCACAGGATAGAACTGGAACCGGGGGCACAGCCAACAGTACAGCGACAGTTCCGACTGACCCAGCCCGAACTAGACGAACTAAGGAAGCAGCTCGATTACCTGCTCGAAAAGGAATTCATTCGCCCTAGTTCGTCGCCCTTCGCCGCACCAATACTGTTCACACCGAAAAAGGACGGGGGTTTTCGCATGTGCATCGACTACAGGGCACTGAACACGGTTACTATCAAATCCCGTTACCCCATCCCACGAGCCGACGAACTGATCGACCAACTGCGCACAGCCCGGGTTTTCTCGAAAATCGACCTCCGGGGAGGCTAACACCAAATCCGCGTCAACCCACCCGACTGCCCTAAAACCGCATTCCGAACACGCTACGGATCCTTCGAATACACCGTCATGCCATTCGGACTGACCAACGCCCCCGCCACTTTCCAAATGACCATGAACGAAGCATTCCGCCCGCTTTTAGATAAGTGCGTCATCGTTTATCTGGACGACATACTGATTTACAGCCCTGACAGAGCACAGCACTTACAAGACATCGAAGCAGTTTTTAAAATCCTGAGTGAGAACCGCCTACTGACCAAAGCATCTAAGTGTGAGTTTTTACAGGACCGCCTGGAGTTTTTGGGACATGTTATTTCAGCTGCAGGAGTGGAAATAGACCCGAAGAAAATTGCGACGATTCAGGCTTGGCACGCGCCGACCAACTTGACCGAGTTGCAGAGTTTCCTGGGGTTCGTCAACTACGTGCGCCGGTTCGTCCCCGACATGGCGAAGCTGACTGCCCCGTTGACTGACCTGCTGAGGAAGGGGGTTGAGTACACGTGGGGGGAGAAAGAGCAAGCTGCCTTCTCGGCCCTCAAAAATATTTTGTGCTCCCCGCCCGTCCTTCACATTGCAGATCCCCACCGTCCGTTTGAGCTCGTCACCGACGCAAGTGACATCGCTGTGGGAGCAGTACTGTTGCAGGATTTCGGGAACGGCCTCCAGCCAATCGCATACGAGTCCCGCAAGTTACACCCGCCCGAACGTAACTACCCGATACACGACCGCGAGATGCTAGCGATCGTGCACGCGTTCAAAGTTTGGCGATGTTACCTGACTGGCGCCGACGTGACAATACGGACAGACCACCGCTCGCTACAGTATCTTCGCGCCCAACCGAATCTCAACCCACGACAGATTCGCTGGTTGGACTATCTCGAGTCCAATTTTCACTACACCGTTACGTACAAAAAGGGTGAATCCAACATCGCCGACGCTCTCACCCGCCCCACCGCCCAACTCCATGCCATCCTACTCGCCCAGACCAACCCGCTTTTAACTGGCCTATTCACCCACGGATACCGCACCGACCCATTTTTCACGACCGGAAATTCACAGCAACTGGCAGAAGCAAAAGGAGTCTATTACGTAAAAGCAGGCACCAACCGCATTTGGGTACCCGCGTACTCACTACTGAGGGAGCTGCTACTACAGGAGGCACACGACGGGATTACCTCGGGACATTTCGGGGTAGAAAAAACGCGACAGCAACTGCAGCGGTACTATTACTGGCCGGAGCTGTTGACCGACGTACAGCAGCACGTGGGCTCGTGCCCGACGTGTCAGGTGATGAAGAGTTCAAGGAAGCGGAAGGCGGGCCAATTGCAGCCGATCCCACCGCCCGAACGCGCCTGGCAGCAAGTAACCATGGACTTCGTCACAGGGTTACCATCGAACCCTGGGGGTAACGACGCGGTGATGGTCGTCGTGGATAGGCTGACGAAGATGGCACACTTCGCTGCGTGCAAAAAGTCGATCTCAGCCGAGGAGACCGCTCGCCTGTTCATCGCAGCCGTTGTTCGCCTGCACGGGATACCAGCAGCAATTATCAGCGACAGGGACACGAAATTTACCAGCAACTTCTGGAAGAACCTCTGGGAGCAGTTCGGGACCAGGCTACAGTTCAGTTCGTCGTACCACCCCGAGACCGACGGCCAAACGGAGCGGACGAATCAGACGATGGAGCAGTTGATTCGTGCCACGTGCGACGACCCCACGACCTGGGAGCAGCAGCTGCCGCTGATCGAGTTCGCGTACAACAACGCCACATCAGCCACGACGCAGCAGTCCCCGTTCTACCTGAACTATGGGCAGAACCCCACAGTGCCCATGACTCCGAGTCCGGACAACCCAACGCCACGCGCACAACAATTCGCCGAAATCCTGCAAGCTGCCCGCGCCAGAGCCGCCGAAGCAATAAAAAAGGCCAACGTCATCGCTAAGCGCAACGCTGATCGCCACCGCCGCCCCGTCACGTATCAATCTGGAGATTACGTGCTACTCGACACGCAAAATCTGCGACTGCTCGACGTGCCAAAATTACGACCACGCTACTGTGGACCATTCCAAATCAGTCACATGATCACACCCGTCACCGCACACCTACTGTTGCCAACCGACTGGTACATCAGCCCTTCGTTCCACGTCAGCCTACTTCGCCCATACATCCCGACCACAAGTCAACTGCCGCGTCACCGGCCACAATCAATGACTCGCCCTGCATCAGAGCCGATCATCGAGCCCGAAAAAATTCTGAGCCATCGGATCCGCCACCCCACGGGAATCAGGAGGATTGAATTCCTCGTTCGCTGGAAAGACCGCACGCCAACTGAAGATAGCTGGGTGCCCCTGAGCAACATCGAAAATCACCCTGCCCTGCAAGTGTACCTGAGGAGCCGGGGATTCCGCGATATACACGCACTCGCGTAGCGGAGGGGGCTTCTTGAGGGGGGGGGTAGTGTAAGGAATTTTCTCGGCATTCCTTACGGAGCCGACTACATCGCGTACAGCAACAGCCGATTGTTCGCCCGTTACTGCTAACGGAACTTCGCCGACTTCGCGCGCACTGTTTTACCAAACCTCGCACTGCTGGCATGGCCGTATCGGCCTACGCTTCGGGACTAGCCCGAGCCTCGCTCCAGCGTAGCACTAGCAAGCTCGCACGCACCGCGTTACCGTTTTGCATGTTTCGCGTATAAATGTTCGCTCATGCCTTCGCTCACATTTTGTACTCGTTTGACACCTTAGTGCAATTCTCGCTACCTCGATTCATTGCACCCGTAACAGTTTATATCGTAGGGCTTCGGTCGTTTGTGTTAGCGCAATCGCGCATGACCCACGTTTCCACAGTCCTCGGAACCTGCTGCTTGCGTGGCGTTGTCCGATGCTGGCATGTCAGCAGGGAACTGCCACGCGACAATACATCCCCACCGTCATGTTTTTCCACCAGAGCATGATGTGGTGGAAAAACAGTCGAGTGCATTGCAGTAGGTTTTCGTACGGTTAGAAGCGCATGTTACCTTCACCTTTTTGAAACTAGACGCACCAGACATAACCGTGGTTCATGACTTGGTAAAAGACACGCCAAACACCCTCGACAACATCGAGATTTGAAACTCCAGTTCACTCTCTTTATCCGCTTGGGGGAATTAAGCAAGCCGCTTATTTGTCAGCCGAGCCAGGGGACGACGTTTCTCGGCGAAACGGACGCGTTAGTCACAGCCGTGCCCGTGCACTCCTACTGTCAGGGTCTCTAAGCTTGCCAAACAACTGCGTTATCAGCAGTTTCGTTACCATTTCACACGTGGCATCGGAGCATGGCCTCCTCATCGTCCTTCACCGGACGGCTGCAGCTGTCGACCGTCGCGCGGTCGGCTCCTGCTGCTTCGCCCGCGTCCACCGCAGGCTCGCTCCGGCAACAACCTGTTGCTGCGGCTGGATCGCACGTCCATTCCGCTCGCTGCTCGCATGAACCTGGTGAGCGTCGCACGTCGCACGTCGTACATGCTGATCCCCGATTATCTCGCATCACGTGCCATTAGCAGGTACAAAAGATGCTGGTCGCGTTGAACCTGAGAACCTGCTTTTCTTCTGCGCTGTCGCATCGTCTTTCTCTGGTCTGAAACGTTAAGGAGTAAAAAATCCGGCATTGCTCATATTGCTTGGTTACGATTCCACGCATTTGCCTGCAGTTTCTAGGTTGCTAGATTTGAAGTATGTGAGTTGTCATCAATGCCTTTCGCCGGTCTTTGAGGCGGCTTATAAACTCTTCTATGTGCCTCTTTTTACCTAATTCAGCACGTTCGTCTACTTGCGTTCAGCGATTGCTGTCTTCTGCTGCTGTTCGTCGTCTGGAATCTACGCGATTAGCCAATCAGCTGATTTGTCCAGGGATGTTGCACCGAGCAGCCGATTTGTCCAGGAAGGCTGCTCAGCCGATCCCACTGTACAGTGCTCACCATACTCCCTCTCTTTCCCCGCATCTCCCGCCACAGATAATGCGAACGCCAGCACGGAACAGCCCAGCAACCTTCCGAGCACCACACAGCCCAACCCCACCACCACCACCACCAGCACCAGCAGCGCCAGCAGCCGTCGTCAGCTGTTGTGTGGAGCGTGCGGAACGGCGGTGGCAGCGGCGGTGGCGGCGGTGTCAGGCGACGCGAGGGCCGAGGTTCTCCCCGCGCCCCCCTCCAACTCCTCCGTCTGCCGCAACTGCCAGGGGGCAGGCGCTGTCGTCTGTAAGTGAAGATTGGCAGCACCATTGGCGGCAGTGTGGGTTGTGGCTTGTGGCTTGATCAGAGATCCTCCCCGCGCCTCCCTCCAACTCCTCCGTCTGTCGCAACTGCCAGGGCGCGGGCGCTGTTGTCTGTAAGTGCTCTCCTGTCGATGCTTCTCAGGTAGCCATGTTTATTTGGGTAATAGGCAGCAGCAACGCAATGACCGCAGCAGTGGCATTGACAGCACCAGTGGAGGCAGTATGGGATGTTTTTTGGGCGTAGATGCTAGCAGCAGCAATGGCAGCAACAGTGCCAGTTGTGGCTGCACGTGTAGCAACAGCATTCCCTCTTCAGCATGTTTCACCTCATACCATCACCCTACTCACATCTTCCCCGCTCCTTCTCTCTACCTCTTTCCTCCATCTCATGCATTTCACCCTCATTTGGCAGTTCCCTACCACTCTCCTTCTTCCTCCTTCCATCCTCAGCACCCACCTGCTATCTTCCCCCGTCCCTTCTCCTTCCCCCTCGCTTCCTCGTCCCCCTTACCCCCATCCCCAGTTTTCCCTTCCTCGTGCCGCCCTTCTCTCAACCACCATGCCCTTTTTCTACCCTAAAATTTCCGACACGCCTTTAGAGGCGACTTCTGAGACATCTTATGACGTCATATGCATGCCATGCCAACCTTCTCTCAACCTCCATAGCCACTTTCCACCAGAATCGGTGACTTTACTGTGTAACCCCTACGTGTGAGGTGCGTCTGAAATTATGAAAGTGTTACTTGTTTTGTAACATGGTAACACCTATCTTCAAAGTGTTGCGGGTGAGAGTGTACGCAAGAAACTTGCCAGAAAAAAATTGTTCTTCGAGATTTGGTGTACTTGCCGCTTCACTCCATGGCACCTCACTTCTCTGGGTTGAATGCATCATGTGTAGTGGCACCGGCGAGAGTGTGGGTTGTGACTCAAAGTTGACATTTCTTGAACCCTTGCTCTCGTTTCTCTGTCCTGCAGGCGACATGTGTGGTGGTACGGGCAAGTGGAAGGCGCTGAACCGCAAGAGGGCCAAGGACACGTATGAGTTCACCGAATGCCCCAACTGCTATGGTGAGCTGCTGCATAGTTTTGTTTTTTTGCAGCTGTGAATGATGAGTCGAGTCAATTATATTTGCACAGTATCCTGCACAGAATGCTTGTGGAGAAGTGAGGCAATTTCTGGGTAGATTCATGTGAGATGAGAACAGTGAAGCTCAGAGAGAACAGAAGGTTTCATGAAGCGTACCCTGAAGAAGTTTCACGCTGACCTGTTCCCTCATGATTCACATCACTGTGCTGTGATTGCTCAGGTCGAGGCAAGCTGGTGTGCCCGGTGTGTCTGGGCACGGGGATGGGGAATGCCAAGGGGTTGCTGCGGCGGCCTGAGGCAAAGCAACTGCTGGACCAGATGTACCACGGTCGCCTGCTGCCCCCTTCCTAGGCAATGTCCCGCCCGCTTCTCCCATCCTAGGCAGGACCAAACATTTGGTTTATTGTTAGCATTGAATTGAGAAAGCTTGCTTTCTGTTCTTGCAAAGGCATCGTGCTTCATTACAATTGCAGTAATTACAACATTCTCGTCCATCTATAGATTATACGGTACAAGCTTCGTATACGACTAGGGTGGGTGGGTGGGGAGTGGAACTGCAAGTTCCAAATGAAGACGTGGGTGGAGGCAAAATGGCCTCCAACCCTCGTCATGTACTCGGCGAATTGTAATTTGCCGTTGCCTTGCTATGATACAGTCAGCTGCGCTTTCACAATACACATTTTTAGAAAGTGTTACACACTTGAAAAATCATATTTATGTTCTGGTGATTAGAGTGAAACGTGTCACACAATTCAGCTATATAAAATAGTATAAACTTAGCACAATTAATCCTAGCGTGTTTGTTATGTGCTATTCGCGTTCTGCCAACTTAATTGTGTGAATAAGTTTGCTGTCATCAGCACTAGAGAGCAGTTTGAAAGAGTTGAACACACAAGGTAGTTTTCTGAAGTGTACCTAGCCCCACTAACGAGTTTGCGGTTGTTTGAACATCCTCGATTTAATTATACCTGCTTTTGGTATCTTGCCGCACCTCAATGGGTGGATGCCATACCTGCACCAAGCCAAATTGTCGCGCCTCGCGCTGGCCGAAGGATGACGTGGACTGACGCACTGAACCGACACCTTCTGTGGGCCTTCCAGAAGCAGCTCCCGTTTTGGGGGGATGCATAAGTGCGAGAATCGGACGCGGGGCATCGACTGACGTGGACGAAGTTTGTGATCCAAGGCCGATCAGGCTCGGACACAAATGGCACGAGTGCCACGCGGCGAAGGGATGTGGTGCGGATGGACCTCCACTCCCATCCGACTTCCGTACAGTTTGTGTGGTGTCATAGTTCTCGGAGGGCGAATCTTACCTCAGAGACATTCTTAGGTCAACTGTCTGCTTGTAACCCACAAAGTCAGGGAAATTTATACCGAAAACAAACTAAGCACCAGAAATAGTGGCAGCTGACAGGAAGGCGGAACACAGCTCGAGGGTCAGCCCCATTCCAACCTGTTGCTGCTTCAACCTCGAGATTTCCATTCCTATTTTTCCTCAGCTTCTCCTCCATTTCTAATTTCTGTGGGGACTGCTTCTAAGGACATTTGCAGGCTCTCTGTTATCTCTCAGGAGCCGCGGTCGCTTGCGTTTCTGCAGCTGAAGCAAGCTGGTATCAGCTGTTTCAAACCAGGCACATCGGTTTCTTCTGCCGTTTTCACCGAAATATTTTCCCCCTCGCTTCCAGCGGACTCGCTTCCGAACGACAATGCCGTCACACCACGCCCTTGCCCGAGGGCCTGTCGTCGCGAATGCGTCTGCTTTGCAGCAGGCGCTTCGTCGTGCCGAGGCTTCCCAACTTAGGCCGAACACGCAATCATTAGCCGTTCATGGCTTGAACCAATCAGGGAAGCTGAGATACACCAGATTAAGGAGTGTTCAGAGCTTCGCTGGGACCCGATTGGTCAATTTCAACTCTGCCGTCGCGAAACCGACGCAAATTCGGAGAGTGACGTCAGCGGTGGCGACGACTGATGCCTCGACGACGACCGCAGGCGATAGCACAGGTGCGTCGCAAGACATAGTAGTACTTGTGTAACAATAACGCATGAATGATTAATCAGTGATCGTCATACATTCAATCCTTTTCAGCACAGGTGTGTCATTTATAGTTGTAAACGTCGTTCCCACTCCTTACGTCCATTCATGCAATGTTTCCGTCTCCTTAAAGAATACAAAACGTGCTAAGCCTTTCAAAAACGCTCGCAGCCCTTTTCTGCTAACCTTTTCGGGACTCGTCTAATCTCCTGGCTATTACACTTTCGTTTCTGGTTTCTTGCCTCGCGGAAACCTTCGTGTTTGTTGTCTGTGAAAACGACATTCGAGAATTGGGTCATTATCGACTCATGCCGATCCCAATCCCTGGCTTTTGTTTTCCTTCCAACTTCCTTGGCTTGGGCTACACGGCCTTCAAATTTTCTTCAACGTTTCCTGCTTGCTTTCTTCTCTTCCCTTTCACAATCCTCTACCACGACCGTTGAGAATCTGGTGATTATCGGCCCAGACCCGGCCGGGTTCACGGCCTTTCATTATTCTTGAACCTCCTGTTCTTGCTCTCCTCTCTTCCCCTCCCTTTCACAATCTTCTATCCTTCTTCAGTGGAGACGGCCGTTGAGAATCTGGTGATCTATCGGCTCAGGCGCGGCTGGGTACACAGCCTTCCAATTTCTTAACCTCTTTGGCTTGCCCTTTTCTCTACCCTTCCCTCTCACAATCCACTCACCACCCTCAGTGGAGACTACCGTTGAAAATCTGGTGATTATCGGGTCAGGCCCGGCCGGGTACACCGCCGCGATCTACGCTGCGCGGGCGAATCTGAAGCCAGTGCTGTTCGAGGGCGTGCAGGCCGGCGGAGTTCCCGGAGGGCAGCTCATGACCACCACGGAGGTCGAGAACTTCCCGGGATTCCCGGAGGGAATTACGGGCCCCGATCTTATGATCAGGTGCGTGGTTCTCGAGGAAGTTCGAAAGAGGCGACTGCTGAATCGACTTGGAAGTTGCCGCGAAAGCGAACACAGCAAGCGAGAAATGCTGAAACGCACAAAATACACACTTTCCTGGTCCATTCAGAATTCGTAGAAGTGCGGAGACGCGGAAAATAGGAATTTCCATTCGCGTCTCTTCACGGTCCGTATTCCATACCTTCATCCCCCCCACCGCATCCCCCGGCTTCCCCCTTTCTCCGTCACCGCGCTATTCCCCCAGATGAAGCAGGAGGCGGAGCGGTGGGGAGCGGAGCTGCACACAGCAAGCCTGCTTCATTCCCCATATATTGAACACCAACACCCCCCACTTTCGCCCCTCCTCTCTTCCTCCCCCTTCCCAAATGCCCCATGCGCGCAGAATGAAGCAGCAGGCGGAGCGGTGGGGAGCGGAGTTACACACCGAAGACGTGGAATACGTCGATCTGCAGACCCGCCCCTTCACAGTGCGCAGCAGCGACCGCGAGGTGCGCGCCCACAGCGTCATCATCGCCACGGGCGCCACTGCGCGCCGATTGGGCCTGCCCAGCGAGAGAGAGTACTGGTCGCGAGGCATCTCCGCGTGCGCGATCTGCGACGGCGCGAGCCCAATTTTCAAGGGGCAGGAGCTGGCGGTGGTGGGAGGAGGAGATACGGCAGTGGAAGAGGCGCTGTACTTAACTAAGTACGCTAAGCACGTGCATCTGCTGGTGCGGAGGGACATTCTTAGGGCCAGCAAGGCGATGCAGGATCGGGTGTTTAAAAACCCGAACGTGACTGTTCACCTGAACACGATCCCTGTAGATGTGGTGGGGAACGACAAGGGGCAGATGGCGGGTTTGAACGTGAAAGACGCGCAGACGGGGCAGGAGAGGATTATTCCGGTGAAGGGGCTGTTCTATGGGATCGGGCACAAGCCGAATAGCGATCTGCTGGCGGGGCAGGTGGAGCTGGATGGGAGCGGGTACGTGGTCGTGAAGGACAACGCGGTTGAGACTTCTGTTCCCGGCGTGTTCGCTGCTGGCGACCTCAAGGTGAGCCTCCTCGTGGTCGCATTGCAAGCCCCTTTGCCTCGTGGGTACTGCAGGTGGGGATAGGGTGCGTGGCCCCAGCTCGGGGCAGGTGGAGCTGGATGGGAGCGGGTATGTGGTGGTGAAGGATAAGGTTGAGACGTCTGTTCCCGGCGTGTTCGCTGCTGGCGACCTCAAGGTGAGCCTCCCCTTGGTCTTCTTGCCCCTCCTCAGTCTTGGTCCCTACCACAGCCACTAGGGTACTCCAGGTGGGGCTAGGGTGCTTGGCCTGGGCTCGGGGCAGGTGGGAGCTGGATGGGACTGGGTATGATGTGGTGGTGGCATGACCTGTTTTTTTTTTTCTTCTTCTTCTTTTGGACATGTTTGATTCAGGATGTTAGTCCTCTCTTTTCGCTCATCCTCTGCTCTTTTTTGTTCCCCCCTCCCCCCCTCTTTCGCCTCCCCATCAACCTCTCTCACCTATCAACAGGACCACGAGTGGAGGCAGGCCATCACAGCAGCAGCATCGGGGTGCATGGCAGCGCTGTCAGTGGAGCGATACCTCACATCCAACGACCTGCTCATCGAGTTCCACCAGGTACGGCTCATTAAGTGCCGGATGTGCTGAACACAGCATTACGAGCGACTGTAGCATTGAAGGCAGTAGCAGCAGCAGGCAGGGTCGGGGTGCCCTGAGTGGTAGATGTGCTCAACACACCACTACGAGTGACTGTAGCAAGGACAGCAGCACGAGCTGCAGCGCCGCGGTGCATGGCAGCGCTGTCAGTGGAGCGGATCGCACGGCCTCGTGCTAATTGCGTTCCACCATGTACGGCCTTGCGTAGATGTGCTGAAAATGGCACTAGGACTGTAGGATCAGAACCAGCAGCAGCGCCAGTAGCAGCGTCATCAGCAACCTCCCTATCATTCAGCCCTCTCCTCATGACATCCCCCTTAACGTTGCAGGGGGTTTTCGAGAATTCTCAAAAACTCCCTCTCCTCATTATATCCCCCTTATCATGCCTGCCTCCCTGTGTCTGCGTACCCTTGTTGCGAGCAGCAGGAGGTGGAGGTGGTGGAGAAGAAGGAGCTGACGGAGGAGGACGTGGAGGAGAAGTTCGACCCATCTGTATCCCTCTAACACCCACCATTACCCCCCTGTTCCCCTTTGGGTCTGTCTATGTGCGGTCTTGTTGCGAGCAGAAGGAGGTGGAGGTGGTGGAGAAGAAGGAGCTCACAGAGGAGGACGTGGAGGAGCGGTTCGACCCGCTGCTGACGCGTCACAAGGGCCAGTATGCGCTCCGCAAGCTCTACCACGAGTCGTCACGCCTCATTGGAGTCATCTACACGTCCCCGACTTGCGGGCCCTGCAGGACGCTCAAGCCCATGCTCGCTAAGGTATGCGCGGGTAGAGTAGAGTAGATTTTCGGCCAGTTTTCCTCATTGCTCACAAGACAAAATGGTCAGTAAGGTATGCGCTTGCTTTTGTGGTGGAATTTTTCGACTGTCGGATTCGCTGGGTGGAAATTGACATCGAGGAGGACCCTGAGATTGTTGCTAACTTGCATTGCCCCATTGCTTGACTCCTGTTGACTTGCGTTGACTCACAGGTGGTGGAGGAATTCGACCGTCAGATCCACTGGGTGGAGATTGACATCGAGGAGGACCCTGAGATTGCCGAGGCCGCAGGGATCATGGGCACTCCTGTCGTTCACTTCTTCAAGAACAAGGAGAAGATCGAGTGAGTGCTTTTCTGCCTGTACATAGCCTTGTCTGCTGAGTGAGTAGTCTGGTCTGCTGTGGCTTAATGCTCTGAGACAACTCACAGTTGCAGCAGGGATCATGGTCACACCTGTGGTGCACACTTCTTCAAGAACAAGGAGAAGATTGAGTGAGTGGATGGTTGATGGTTCAATCCGCTGACTGGCTTGACTGGCTTGAGACCCCCTAAGTTACTGAACTGCGGCTGGGATCATGGGCATGCTGCCTGCCGTGCATTTCTTCAAGAACAAGGTAGGTCGTTCCCGTCCCATCCCTCCCCCTTGCTTGCCTGCCCATCCCATCCCTCCCCCTTCTCCAGTGAATCAAGGGTGTGAAGACTAAGGGAGTCTACCGCGAATTTATCGCGGCACATAAGTAGAGTGTTACTATACAGCATGCATGTCTCTCACCATCCTTTTGAGGCGCCTCAAAAGGAATCGATCGCAGCACATCAGTCGAGCGTTACTGTACAGCATGCATGTCTCTCACCATCCCCTCTTCCCGTCTTTGCCACTCCCTTTTCCCTGCCTGCCTGCCGGCTCCCCTCCCCCTTTTCCACCTCTCCGCCGCTCTCCAGTGAGATCAAGGGTGTCACAATGAAGAGAGTGTGCCGGGAAATTATCGAGGCACATAAGTAGAGCACTACTAGGCAGCATGCATGTCCCTCACCATCCTCCTTCCCGCTTGCCCCCCCCCTTTTACCTGCTTGCCTGTCCCTCGCTCCCCTCTCCAGTGAGATCAAGGGTGTGAAGATGAAGAGAGTGTATCGGGAATTCATCGACACATAAGTAGAGTGTTACTAGACAACACACATGTTTCTCACCGCCCCCACTTCCCCTCTTACCCACTCCTTTTTCCCCCCTTGCCCCCCACCTTTTTCCCCCCTCGCTCCCCTCTTCAGTGAGATCAAGGGTGTGAAGATGAAGAGAGTGTATCGGGAATTCATCGAGACACATAAGTAACTCGCTGCTGCCAAACTGGAAGGGAAAACGCTGGCCACCTAGTGCACATATGTACATGTGCAAGCGCAGGAGAGAACTCCCTAGTGAGAATTAGATGGTACTAGGCCGGAGAAAGAGCAGTGCATGTCAACCCACTCCCAACCACCCAACCCTTCCCAATCGATTCCAACCGCTTTCAAACCATTCCAACCATCTCAACCATCGCATTCCATCCAATCCGTTCTTACCTCTCCTTACCGAGCCCAGCCCATCCCATCCCAGCACAGCATCAAGCTGTACTGCGATGCATCCATATGCCTAGCAAGTTGTGTGGTGTAACTAATATTGTTCTTGGGTGCTTGAAAGTATACAGTGTGCTGTACAATATGGTATGTTTCACTGCAGAGACACTGTGTACAAGGACCAGTGTACATTAACAATGGCAACTTCCCTACCAGGGCCCTCACTAGGATCATTTATGGCATCCTGAGGCCTCAGGGTAACTTTGCAGAATCCAAAAAAATGCCCTGATTTCTCAGGGCAAATTTTTAAAGCCATCCTGTATTTTCAGGCCTTAGGCAGAAATACATCCTGACCTCTCAGGGCAGAGAAACATAAACAGTGGCAGCCTATGCTACTGGCGACGTGGCATTGTCCACGTTGTTGGGCTGAGAAGCCCTTAAGGATCTTTGCAGAGGATAACTCTGGGTAGGATACTTTGTAATAGCGGAAGCGTTTTAATGAAGCTTTGTGAACCGACCTTGCACTAGTGTGTGAGAGCAAAGTAGATTGAATTATAGAGAAAAGATACAAGCTTATATAATAGGTACAGGGAATATGAAGGGATACGGTTATAACTACTTTTACTGTTGCTGTTGCGGTTCGATACAGTGCGACTCGGGCAACTGCTCTGTAACGAGTCAGTTGTGTGTCATTAACTGTCGCGCTGTTCTTGTCAGGTCAAGGGTCAGCGACCTTTGACTTTCGCGTAACTTCCTGCAGCCGATTCAACCTCCGAGGGTTGACTCGCAGGTGCTTCGGTGTAGGTTGCCTCGCTTCTGGTGCAATGTTTCGACACTGCTGAAGCGTTTAAGTTCCATTGTTTCCAACACTCCCCTTCGCTTCTGGAGTGTCGCTGCTGGTGACGTGGCTCTGTCCAGTCAGCAGTATGCAGTATTCGAACTTTTGCTTTCCGAGCTTCTTGGTCAAGTAATCGGCTGCCATCTCAGACGTGGGACAGTATGACAGTTCGAGTTTCCCCTTCTCGATCTCGTCCTTCACGAAGAAATAGCGCAGGGCGATGTGTTTCGTCCTGTTTGCGAAGCCGTTCTTGTTGGCGATGCGAATTGCTGACTGGTTGTCGCAGAACACGGTGAAGCTGGGTAACTCGGCTAACTTCGCTTCTTCCAGCAGTTCGCGAAGGTAAAGTCCCTCCTTGGTGGCTGAGCAGAGTGCGATATATTCCGCTTCAGCTGAAGACAGTGCGATTAACTCCTGCTTACTCGACTGCCAGGAGATAGGACCGATAGGCTCGAGGCGGTAGACATAGCCGGTGCGTGAGCGCCTGTTATCGGTGTCGCCGGCGTGATCGGCGTCGACGTAGCCGATTAGCTTGGTCGGTGTAGTTGCGTTTTTGTGATAAGTTAGTCCGATCGTCGCGGTGCTGACGAAGTAGTGGAGAGCGCGATCGAGTTCCGCCAGATGCTCTGCTTCAGGCTTCTTGAGATAGGTGGCGAGCTGACTCGCGGAGTAGGATAAGTCGGGACGGCATGTGACTGCTGCGAAGAGAAGACACCCGAGCTTCTTCTGATAGTCGCGTATGCCGGCGGGCTTGAGTAGAATAGATCGTTCCTTTTCGGTTCCTGACGTGTAGCGGTAAGGCGTGGAGAGGGCGCTTGGTGTGAGACCGAAGCGTTTCGCGATGGTGTCGGCGTACTTCTCGGCGCTGAGGTAGATCGCGTCCTTCCCTTCTCGGATGTTGAGTCCGAGATATTGCGTGACGGTAGATGAGACGGTGAGGGTAAGGTCCTTCTGCAGCTCCCCTTCGAACCACGTGGCGATGCCGTCGGTTGACCCGATGTAGAGGAGATCGTCCACGTAGACGATCAGAAGAACGTAGTCGCTTCCCTTTGTGAGGCGGTACATGCCCTGGTCATGCGGGAGTTGTTTAAAACCGATGCGGATAAGGCGGGCGTGCAGGTACTGCTGCCACAGTCGCGGTGCCTGCTTGATCCCGTAGAGCGACTTAAGCAGTTGACAGACTTGGTTGGGTTCACCGTGGGAGCCGTGCGGGAGCTCGACGAAGATTTCAGCATCCACAGGTGCGTAGAGAAATGCGTTTGCGACGTCGATTTGTCGCAGTTTCTTTTTCTTCATGGCGGCGATGGCGATGAGGATTCGGAGTGAGGTGTGACGGCTGACCGGAGCGAAGGTTTCAGTGTAGTCTCTTCCGTGCTCCTGGTCAAAGCCGCGCACGACCCAGCGAGCTTTGAATTTGTCGATGGTGCCGTCAGCTTTCGTCTTCACACGGAAGACCCACTTCCCGGTAAGGATAGTCTTGTTTTGTGCTACGCCGATGGGAACGATTTTCCAGGTGTTGCGCTCCTTCAGTGCCTTCAGCTCTTTGTCCATGGCTTCACGCCATTTCTCCCTATGTTCCCCCCCCAGAGCCTGTTGAACCGTCGCAGGCTCTTTAGGAATGGCGGCGCCATGGACTGCGGTGACGAGTCCAAGGATTTGGAGGCCACTCTGTGTGTAGCGGGGGAGTGTGCCGGGGAGAGTGTTGTCCTCGGGATAGGCTGCTTCGTCTCCCTCTTCTGGATCAGGTATGAAGTTTGGTCCTATGCGTTCAGCTTCGTCGGTGTTGACTCTTGCGGGTGTTACGTAACCGTTGTCGGCGAAGTGGTAGTGGATTTCGGTGTTGTTACTGTCGCGCGAGTTTTCGTCATCCATGGGGACGTTGACGGAGCAGTACGGGAGTGGTCCGGCTGCTTCCGAGGCTCCTTCCACGTTCTGCTCGTCCCAGTCAGCTTCGTCTTCTGCCGATGCGAAGGCTTGGTTGCCACGGAAACCACCTGTGGGGTCTCGGTTCTCGTCCAGGTTGGCAAGATAAGTTTGCATGGTGAGTCGTTCGTAGAAGATGATGTCACGTGCTGCCACTGTTTCCTTCGTGTGGACGTCGAAGATTTTCCATGCGTTGTAGTGTTTTTCGATGCCCAGGTGTAGCCCCCACTGTGCTCGTTGCGAAAATCGGCCGGCCCGTGCAGATGGTGGTCGGTACTGTACCATGCACCCAAAAACTCGTAACATTTTTGTGTTGCCCAATTTCCCGGTCCACAGCAGATGCGGTGATGCGTTGTTCGGGAGTGACGACGAGGAGAGCAAGTTGTGTAGCATTACAGCGTGGTCCATCGCTTCTGGCCACTGGTGGTTGGGAAGCCGCATGCCACGTAACAGTTTCCGCATGGTGTTTTGGAGGGTCCTGTTCAGCCTTTCTGCTACACCCTGTTGTTGATGGGCGTAAGGAAGGGAGATGAGGCGCTTGATGCCTTTCTCAGCCAGGTAGTTCTTGAACCTCGTCGAGGTATATTCTCCTCCTCCGTCTGTTTGGAAGTTTTTTTAACTTGACGCCCGATTCCCGCTCTGCTACGGGAAGCCACGCGACGAACGCCTCGAACGCCATATCTTTGCTTGGGAGATTCAGGTGCCAGACGTAGCGTGTTGCGGCGTCGATGAAGGTAATCGTGTAGAGGTACGTATTTTGCCCTGGTTCACGGTTGTACAGGATGTCGCTGTACACTTTTTCGAGTGGTGTGTAAGCTGGTGCACTTGGGTTGTGGTGCGATGGGAACGGTTGATGAGGTAGGTCTCCTTCTGGGCAGGTGAAGCATGTGCCGCGTACGCGTTGGAGTTCTTGTCCGTCGGTTAATAGGAGTGAGTCTTTGTCGAGCACTCTTGCTCGTATTGTGTGTTTAACACTGTGTTGCTTGGATGTCCCATTCTTGCGTGCCAGGTTGCTTCGTCGGCACGGTGTCCGGGTGATC